TTAAGCCTGGCGTGTTTCAGGTCTTACTTTGCAGTTTACAAGCATACTCTTCTTTTTTTTAATATTTTATTTATTTATTATGTATACAACATTCTGTCTGCATGTAAGCTTGCAGGCCAGAAGAGGGCACCAGACCTCATTACAGATGGTTGTGATCCACCATGTGGTTGCTGGGAATTGAACTCAGGACGTTTGGAAGAGCAGGCAATGCTCTTAACCTCTGAGCCATCTCTCCAGCCCCAAAGCATACTCTTCTTAAGCTTTTCTTTAACAAGCAAAAAGCATCTTCTTCATAACTCTGTTTATAGTGAGATAATTATTTTACCTCTGCTGCGAAAGTTTCACCAACTTTTGAAACGTAGTAGATTTATATATCCTCCTATAATTGGCTGGATTGGCTAGTCCATGGCATTGCTAGAACTAGCCTTTGAGTACAACAACCAGAAACCCAAGAATCCACACCATTCAAGTCAGGTAACACCTAGAAGGGGTGTTCTAGGAACAGTCAAGGATCAACTGAGAGATGCTCTTCCTGTGTTGCTGGGGTCTAAGTGAACCCTCACTGCCTTGTCTGTTAGATCACTCTTTCCTTGTGCATTCTGTCAGAGGTCACCAGGAAGGAACTGGTAACTGAATCTTAGCATGCCTATTATTAGCTTGTAGTGTTCCAGACAAGTAGGAGTGTCATTCATCAGCTTCTTAGTTGGCCGTCTATCAGAAGCATCTGTAGAAAGACATAGGGGCAAGAATTGTTGTGGCCATCACAAGTCTCCTCACCATTACCTTTCTCACTTGGTCTCCCATCCGTGGGAAAATTAGCCCCCATGGAATCTGCCTGCTCATATCCAGGTATCCTGTGGACGTTCTCTGGCTATTTCTTGATAGTACTAATCTATTCTATATGATTTTCCTTTTAAAAAATAAAGACATTCTTTTATAATTTATTTACTTTTATGTGTATTGATGTTTTGCCTGCATGTATGTCTGTGTGAGGGTGTCACATCCCTTAGAACTGAAGTTACAGACAGTAGTGTACTGCCATGTTTTTGCTGGGAATTGAGCCAGGGTCCTCTAGAAGAACAATCAGTGCTCTTAACCACTGAGTCATCTCTCCATTTTCAAGTATTTGTATTTTACATCAACATCCTTACTGGAGACTATATAGTATACACAGCCACACTGTGTAGTCAAATAACTGTCTATGAACTTTATTTGGTGTGGTGATGGGGCATATTTTATTATGATTCTAAAACATTCTAAATGGAAAAAGGGTTAATTACATGTCATTATCATAGGGGCAAATCAATGGGAATGATTAACATGCTTTATTATATGTAGTTGCAAAGATTGATACAAAAATTCTAATTTACCTCTTTTAGTGGAGCAAGACACTTTTTAGTCTTATAGAGGTGGGTACTGGAATTCACACAGCAGAAATTAGAGCTGAATATATCATTAAACCTTATTCTATAACAGAATATTTACAAAGAAGGACTTGGAGGTTGGGGGAAGAACATTTCCAATTGAGAGACCAAATTTTAGGAAAAATGAAGTCATCTAAACAGAAGGTTAATAAGACCTGTCTGTGCACACTCTAGAAATGCTTAGGTTCCAATAGAATGAAGCAAAAGAAAGCCAAAGCTGCCAGGTGGAAGCACATACCCAACACTTGGGAGGCAGAGGCAGGTGGATCTCGAGTTCGGGAGCAGCCTGGTCTACAAAGTTAGTTTCAGGACAACCAGGGCTACACAGAGAAATCCTGTCTGGGGGGGGGGGGGGGAATAAAGCCTAAAGCCAGTCTTCAGTTATAAACAAGTCATTTTTTATATCTAAACAAGAATATAGGTCTGTCTCTGGGGAGAGACTGCAGAAGGCTGTTCTGCTCTCCAGACTCTGTCTAAAGGCTATTCTGCCCAGAAGGATGAGAGAAACTAAAGTGTATGTTTGCATGTGAGTTGAATTTCCTGGGTCAGAGGCATTAAGTTAACTTCACTGCGCTAACAAGCATCAGTGTCAACAGTGTCCTTGTAACAGGAAAACAGAGAGATGGAGAATGAAATCTATTTCCTCCTAGTTGTCACATGTAGCTCTTACCAATGGATAGTGGTTACTTGCCTAAGTTCATCACTAGACAAGTAGAAATTAGAACTCAGAGCCAGCCAAGGATATTACGCTTAGAAACAGCAATTCAGTCAGCTCTGGTTACTAGTACTTTCCATGTTCAACTTGTCAGCACTAGATGTTAACCGGGAACAAGCTAGTGGGTGAATTTCAGGTAAGGACTTTTAAGCTAAGACTTGAAAGCACTCACCATAATAATATATTGCCATTGTTGAAACAGTGTGTGTGTGTGTGTGTGTGTGTGTGTGTGTGTGTGTGTGTGTGTGTGTGTAGTTTTCTATCATCATCTTCTCAGAACTCAGCTTTCTGCAAGCTTCTTAACTGGAGCCTGCATAGCACACATTCACACGGTCTCTCTCTTGTGCTCCAGACATGCTCATGAAGTATGCGCGCAGTCGTACGGACAGCTAGACCTCTTCCTCTGGGCCTCTCCTACCCATACCTACTCAGGCTATGCATACCACAGGCTCTTAATACAAAGTAGTCTCTTCACATTTGCCAGCATAATGTTCAGTCTCAGTTATTCACAAGTATTTGATAAGTCACAATTAGCATTTTCCTGGGCAATAGAGTTTAACTCACCTATGTGCTGTAGTACTAATCCTACCACAAAGTTAGTGAATAGACACAGCCCACACCCTAACTTCTCAGCTCAATTATTTCCTCTCACCCCCACCTGTTCTGGGAAGCTAGGTAGGGTCTCTACATGTTAAGCAGGTGCTCCACTGAGCTGTACATCCTGACTTTTTACTTTTTATTTTGAGACAAGATTTCACAAAGTTGGCCTTGAATTTACTCTGTAGCTCACATAGCCTCTCTGGTCAGATGCTCTTCCTGCCTCAACCTCCTGATTAGCTGTGATTATAGAACCACTATTACTCAGCTCTTAGGACACTGTTATATAGAGTAATAAGCTCGGCTCTTAAGACATTGCTATGTAGAAAGGTGATAACATTTTTTAAAAAATTATTTATTGTGTATGTGTGTGTCCACATGCCACAGCATTCATGTAGAAGTCAAAGGACAGCTTTTGGAGGTTGGTTCTCACCTTCTACAATGTGGAGTCGAGCTCAGGTAGTCGCTGACTGTCACTCACACCTTTAATCTCAGTACTCTGAAGACAGAGGCAGGCGGATCTCCGAGTTTGAGGCCAGACCCTATCAAAACAAAAAGAAAACAGAACAAAAAAAACAAACAAATTTAAGAAAGGAAAAACTGTCATAATTCTAGATTTCTAAATTTTAGAACTCTCAAAAAAACTGCAAGAATATGAGAATGTGACATATATACCATAAACTTTTCTAAATGCTTTTGTCTAACTTCAGAATGGGACCTGTCTCCATGCTAAAATGTTGTTAGGACGAGATCATTACATGGGTGAAGATACTTGTTATCAAGCCTGATGATCTGCGTTCAGTTCCCAGGACCCACATGAAAGGAGAAAACTCTGTCACCTAAATGTTCACCTCTGATCTCCACACTGTGCTGTGACACACATGCACGCACACACAGCAAATAAATAAAAAAATAAAATAATTTAGGGGCTGGAGAGATGGATCAGAGGTTAAGAGCACTGACTGCTCTTCCAGAGGTCCTGAGTTCAATTCCCAGCAACCACATGGTGGCTCACAGCCATCTTATAATGAGATCTGGTGCCCTCTTCTGACATGCAAACATACATGGAAGAAATGTTGCTTACATAATAAATAAATAAATCTTTTAAAAAATAAAATAAAATAATTTAAATGTATGTTTTGTCTAACAGGACTTTATTAGAGCTACACCATAGAATTGCTTGGGAACTTGGTAAAGACCCACAGACAACTTCTCTATTCCATAGCCCCCAAAAAAGAACTCACAGGAATTAGGATGTGTGCCTTTGACAAGTGCTTGTGACTATTTCAAGTACAACTCTTGACTTGAAGAGGAATTCCATAGGAAGCCCCCTTTGAGAGGTGGTGTGATGCCCACTTCCCAGGACAGCGTCAGGTAGTGACTCCCAGGGATTTAACAGAGCAGTGCAGTGGAGTGTTGCTCCCAGGCTAAGGATTCCTGCTTCATATTGTAGAGCACTGTACACTGTTTCTCTTCATTCTTTTGTTGCCTGAACTTTGGGTTTGAACATCTCAAAAGAGGAAGTAAATAAGCTCAAGTAAATCAGGTAAATGCTTGTTTGCTTGAGTTCTCTTTTTATGAAGGGATAGAAAGGCAAAGGTCAAGATACAGGCATAGTCACTGTTGTTTTTTTTTTTTAAACAAGGACTAGGTTTATAGTTTACATCTATGAGTTCTTTTCTTTTGAGATCTCAAAATCCTTTTTTTTTTTTAAGTTTTTACCAGCATCTAGGGACTAGGAGGGGACTTTGCCTCCTCCCCACAGCTCCCTCATTCTTTCACCGTTACTGTAGGTCTGGGAGGAAGCCAAGAACTGCGTGAGTTTCTGTGTCTATAAACTGCAGTGTTTACTTGGGGAAGGCTTAGGTGGTTAGGAACTGAAGGAAATTAATAGGATGAATATCACATCTCACATGGCTCAGTGTCACATGAAAGCCAATGACAATCACTCCTGCAGCACAAGCTTGGTTGTTTAGTTGGTGGAGAGGGGAGTATTTGATCACTTTGTGTTTGGGGGTCTGCCAGTTTGAAAGGATGCTATCTCCAGAGCCTCGGATCCGGAGAGCCATAGAATGCAAAGATGTGTGAGTTAGCGCTGAGTGGCCTTTGTGCAGCCAGTCCAGCTGCTTTCCTTCATTGATTTAGTAACTCCTATTTCCATAGTGAGGTTGAGACATCTGGTTGAACAGTACATTTATGAATGGAAATATAAATTAGTCTCTTGCTAATGCTATTTTTTTGTTGTTTTTGTCTCCTTTCTCTAGCATGAAAGACTTTCTAGGTAAGAATTCTGTTTTATATGCATGCTTAATTCTTGTGAGTGAATGCATGTCTAGTTAAATTTGGTGTCATATAAATAGTTTAGTAGTGTTCTTCATATCCTTCCTTTTCATTTCTTCAGTCACAACAATAATTCAGACTTACCTCCTGCCCAGTGTTACTGAACAGCTTTCAGCTCACCTTCCTGCCACCAGCTTCTCTTCTTTCCAGTTCACCTTGTTTACTTCCAACTGATGAATTGTCCTGAAGCATCAGTTTCAGGCCTTACCTGTAGTTAGTTTCCAATCTATTAAAGCAACAACTCCTTTCAGAGGGATACAGAAAGTGCCCTTTAGACATGCAGGCAGGTATTGTGGGTGCGGGGAAGGGGCAGTTAGCCCAATCTGATAGTTCAGAAGACAGAGTTATTACCAAGTGGAACCCTGAGTTGAAATTGAGATGATATTCTCACTTTATAGTGAACCCAACTGTATAGCTCATAAGCTCATCACATGAATCAAAAGCCTGTTTTGCAATTACTAAAATAAATAAATAAGATCCTCCATAGTTTTTCATATAATCTCTAAGGTACAAAACTGATCTTCCTATAGAAGAAAATTAAAATAATAGCAACTTTGGAACTATGTCTGCATCACTTCTCCACTATCCCTGTGATGGAGAAACTAAGAGGAGGTGGGATCGAGAGCAGGTGTGGTTCTGGGCTGGCACAGGGCAGATTGATCTTATAATCTGTTTGGTGATTGAGCTATCTCTACCTTGATAACTTATGCTAAGATTTATAGTATTACTCCATCTGCCCCCTCACCAACCAAGAATAAATAATTTACTTGTAAAGTAGCATTAAATGACTTAGCTTTGCAAAAATCAAAGAGCAGTGTTTTGCTATAGCTCCTCTTTAAAGAACTCAGTTATGTTATAATGGCCACATTGAAGGATACTTTCTCTATAGACTTCAGGATATAGAATAAACTTTTCATGATTAAAATACTGAAGTACTAGTTCAAGAATAAAGACAGAGGGGCTGGTGAGATAACTCAACTGGTAGAAGTGTTTGCCACCACACCTGACAACTGAATGGGATCCTGGAACCCACATGGTGGAAGGAAAGGACCAACTCCTCATAGCTGTCTTCTGACTGCCACACTCACACACATTGTACATATAAATACAATGTAATTAAATGTATAATTAAATGTATATATATACATTTAATATATAATTAAATGTATGAGTGTGTAAAAAGTAATAAGAAAAGAGATTGCTAGAACAGTTTATAGCACCTTCAAAAGTCATGTGTGTAATGTGAATTTTCATCTCATGGGTGGATACAGACTTACTGATTGAGAAAATGGACTATTTTCATTTGTTTGTTTTGAGAAAATATACCCTTCCTTCAATCCATACTAAAAAACCAAGAAAAATATATTTCAAATAGTTATATTTTTAAAAAGAAAAGCCTTTTCTACAAAAGTAGAATGTTTTGTTATCTATATATAGGAAACATCTTCCCAAATAGTACCCCCAAAATTATAGTGTCAAGTTTCATTATATATAATTTTATATCATTGCTATTAAAAAATAGCTGTAAGTAGCTAGGCATAGTTACTCTTACTTCTAATTCCAGCACTTGGAAGGCTGAAGCCAGGGGGATTAGGAGTTCAAGGCCAGCCTGGAGTACATAGGAAATTCTAGGCCAACCTGGGTGATATGAGGCCCTGTCTCAAAAAATCTAAATAAAAATAAGAGATTATTGATGCTCTTAAAATAAAAAAAAGTTACTGTAAAGAGAGGGAAAAAAATGTAAGATGTATTAGACATTTGTAAATCCCTAATGTGTAAGAGCGTTATCTCAGGGCGTGACAAAAGAAAGGAGAAAGCTGCTTACCTTAGTAAACAGGGTGTGATCAGCCGTCCAGAAACACAAGCACGGAATAATCACACACCTCCCTCATGATTTAAAAGACTAAAATGGGACCATAAGAATACCAATTTTCCTATAGCAAGTTTGAGGTCATTCAGTGTATGAGACCTTGTATCAAACAGAAAACAACCACCACCAAAGAAGGTAATTATCCAACTGTACCAAGACTTATAAGACTGCACATTTTAGCATTGTTAATAGATATATTAGTAAAAATTAGCTAAAAATCTTGAAGCAATGTGTCTATCACTGAAATTTGGTTAAATTACTAGATAACCATGGAATGAACTATTTAGTCATTTAAAGGAAGAAGTTTATTTTTACTTGCATGTTAAGATTCCCAGAAAATCATAGATATAGGTAGTAGGAGTTAGACAGTGTATGTGTAGATCTTAGCTAGCTTTATGGGAATATTTTTTTAAACATTTTTGTATTTGACATTCCAGAAGTATATGAAATCTGCTGTTAATCGCAGTTATTTCTTGGGCAAGATTATGGGATAGATACTTTGAGATTTCTTAATGTATTAATGTAGTCAGAAAAATTATTAATGCCAAGATTTCCATGAACAGGGAGTGGGAGGGTAAGAATAAGACAAGTCCTGGCATCTTTAAGAGTGGCCCAGCTTCCTTTGCAGCCACACTGTTACTGTCTTCTGCCTCACTTCTGCTCTCCCAGCTTTGCCAGCAGCTTCTGCAGAAACCAGACAAGGTCTCACAGCTATGATGGTGCGAACCTGAGCAGGGCTCAGGGCTCTGGAAGGCTGGTTTGTGCACAGCACTTTGGTATGTGCTACACTTAGTGAGCAAAGCTCAGGGAAAGAGACGCTGGGTGAAGGCTTAGAACAACACCAGGACACCAAACTGGTAACTTGCAAGAGACTCCTCCCTGACACACTGAGCAGTGCCGGAAACAAGACCAGCAGCAGCTTTAGAAGCCCACTTGCCAGAAGATGTAGAAAACTCAGCTACAGGGACAAGTCTTGATGTGGAATAGAGGGGAAATGGCTGCTGAGGCTGTTTGACTCCAGCGTACCTGTTGTGCACCCCAAACCCCTGTGTTGTGCCGTGGTTGCTGTTCCTCCTCTCTACCCGCTGGCTCAGTCTCCAAGCCCATGTGTTTCTAATTCACTGACAGTTCATTATAATCATTTTCCAAGAGCCCTTCAGACCCAAGAAACTTTGACTTTTAAAGGCACACTCTTTAAGGAATCTATTCAATTCCAAATTAATTTGAAAGCTCTAAGATTTAAAGCAGCACATGGGTCCAAGCCACCAATTTTTCAAGTGAGCACCACTCTTGGCAGATGATGGCCTCGCTCCCCAAGCTGCCTGCTTATTCGTGTGCACACTCACTAGTGCAGTGTGTGACCATGAGGCTAAGAGATTTAAGGAAGGCAAGTTTCCGGCCAGAGCTCTCAAACACCTCCCAGAAAAGGCACAGACTAGTCCTAGGCTTTATAAACAAACACACACACACACACACACACACACACACACACACACATTATTCTCAAAACCAACTTTTATCTTCAACATTTATCTTATAGGTTGGAGTCAGGAGGCAGTAATCCAACCAGCAGTGATTCTTACAGTGACCGTGCCTCAGCAAGAGCCCGTCGGGAGGCCCGGGAGGCCCGCCTAGCCAGCCTGACCAGCCGGGTAGAAGAGGACACCAGCAGGGATTATAAAAAAGTAGGGTCTCTTTCCAGGCTTCCTGTTTTGGGTTTATGATATATAAACCTCTTAGCCTTTCTCCCAATACAGAAAAAAGTAACCAAAATTCTAAATAAGGAATACAAAAGGTAATTAATTTTTTGCTTCACCTTTCTACCCACTAAGGGCTATTTGCATATTATTTTTATTGCAGTAAGTGTATGCCTAGAATCAAATATTTAGAAGTATAGGGGAAAGTAAGAATTTTTAAAAGAAAAGTAAAAAGTGTAATGCTATATATCTGAACCCCTGAGAACTATTTGGTTAGGCTTATTTTTAAGAAACATGTGCTTTTAATAAGGTGTTTTGAATATCAACCAAATACTTTTTGGTGTGAGTTTTTGAAAATTCATTCTCATCCATCTCTCTGGTCCTGGAGAGGAGTTAAGTCATTTATATCCCATTTCTCTTGGTTCTTGCTCTTTGGGCTTTGAAAACAATCCCTTTCAGGTGTTTGAGATAACATTTGATTAAGGAAATTTTTCTTTGTTGATGTTTTTGTTAAGCAGAATTTGACAAAAATCCACACACTGGTTCCAGAAACAATAACTCTGTTTTGTCTAGAAGCCACACTTTAAGCAGTGCAGAGACCATGCGGGAGGAATGGGTGACTGGTTTTCTCCCAGAGTTTGGCCTTTCTGCCATTGGAATGTCACCCTCTCCTTGCCGTCCAGATCATGCAGTCTGGAAGCCAGAGAACAGCGACTCTCCATAAACCCCTTCCCCTGTCCACTCAGTTGACCGTGGTGGCTTGGAGCAGAGAGTGGAGTTCTCCTGCTGGGAGCCCACTCAGTGACCTGTTCTGTTCCCTTCACAGCTCTACGAGAGCGCCCTGACCGAAAACCAAAAACTGAAAACAAAACTTCAGGAGGCCCAGCTCGAGCTAGCCGAGATAAAGTCCAAGCTTGAGAAGATGGCCCAGGTAAGGGGAGGGACAGCAAAGCAGGGTGGCAGGGACATTCCTAAGGAGACACTAGACATCCTGGGGCAGGTTGTGGGATAGACTCAAAGTAGCACTTCCTCAGAGCTGATCAGATGGAAGTTTTGTAGAGTCTAATTTTGAGGTTTTAGGGGTCAGTGACTGTTTAACTTAACTGAAAACTGATAGTTAAGTTACCTGAACAACTTACTGATGTTATGAATGCTAGTAATTAATATTAACATAACTTCTCACTACACAGTACAAGTCAGGCCAGTCCTGGGTCAGTGCTAGATAGTTCATCCTGTCCTGCTCCTGCTGCAATTCAGTTCCTCTGCCCCTCGCCTATGGAGTGAAGTAAGCAGGACACGATACCCGAGTCCACAGAGCCCCAAGCAACCTGAAATCATCGAGTGCTGTGTTCCATTAGGGAGGGATGTAGTTCCAGATTAGCTTCCAGGAGGACTCCACCCTGGACCGAAAGTGTCCCCCACTTGCATCTGCCATTAGCCACTCCCTCTTACTGCCAGGCCTGATTTAATTACACAAAGCTTGGGAGGCTGCTAGGAGTAGTGATCTCATTGCTCATGAAACAAGCCCTGCAACTGAAAGCTACAGCAGCCTATCTTGGGTTATTACAGAGTTAAAAGGGAGCCTATTGAGTTATCGCCCTCACAGAATGCCTGGGAACTAAGAATTTCAAAAGCAGAACTGAGGTAAAAAAGGACTCTTTACAAGGATATGAAAACCAGAGGTGGCTATTTAATCTGGGAATATGATATAACCTAAAAGCAAAAATGAAATTATAGGTTCACGGTGTTGTAAGCATGTGGTATTGTAAGTAGTGGAAAAGGGGTTGAGTAGCATCTTAGCATCTTATTGTAGCCTCTCTGACATGGGATATACAGGGAGCAAAGAGGGTGACAGGAACTAAATATGGTTCTTTCCAGACTTTCTGAGGCCTACAGCTAACACATACTAGGTGTTAAGCCATTTTATAAAACAAAAATTAAAATCCACAACATAATTAGAACCCTATCATAAGTGGGGGGTGATGTAGCATGAATTCTAATTGGCTTTAACAATAAAAAAAATCCTGAGTCAGATATCAGGGTTGATGCTGAAAGATCAGAGAAGCAAAGCAGCCAATCACCAGTTCTTACCTCTATCGGATCCTCAGACCAAATGGATGATCCTGTCTCTTGGAATCCTCAGACTTAATGCTGTGAGCTCTTGTTTCCTCCTGTGTGGTTTTACTTTCTCTGCCCAGCCATATCCCTTCCTGTCTCCACCTTCCTAGTGCTGGGATTAAAGGCATGTGACTCCCAAATCCTGGGATTAAAGGTGTGAGCCATCACCTCCTGGCTCTGCTTCTCTTTCAGACTGGATCAATTTTGTGTAGCCCTTGGTGGCCTCAAACTCACAGAGATCTGTCTGCCTCTGCCTCCTGGGTGTTGGGATTAAAGATGTGTGTCTCCACCACCTGGTCTCTGTGGCTAACTAGTGACTTGTCTCTGCACCCTGACCTTCAGGCAAGCTTTATTTGTTAGATCACAAACAAAATATCACCACATAAGTAAGCTTGGTCACTTTCCCCTCTGCATTACTAAACTGGGCAAAATGTCTTGGTTTTGAGGAGCTTCCAGATGGGTGGCAGTTAGAACTAAGTGCAGCCTTTAAACTGTCCCCAGAAGCTGCACCCATCGCAGAACATCCAGGGAAGCAATGTGGCCGCTCCTCAGCCGGAGCCTGTGAGGTGTGCACAGCAGCACAGCGAGCTGCTCCAAGTGATCCCTCAGAGCATAGAGTAGACTCAGCCTTCCCGCCACCAGCGGCTCTGCGACGTATGCCGGGGTCTACTTAATTTTACCAAACGCAAGCTATTTGAAGCTCAGAAAGAAATGATGGTGCTACAATCAAGTCTCTATTTACCAAAAATGGAGATGTTTGGTAGGATTGGGGCGTTTGTTTGGAGACAGTTCCCACATGGACACTTGCAGCATTTTACATAAAAGTAAAATCGACTCAAAATCAAGGAAGTTATAATTTAAAACTAAATAAGTAAACAAAAAGCTATTTCTTTGTATTCTGAACTTTGCAAATCTCAAAATCTTTCCTCTTGCTAAGCTCAGGGAAAAGATGAAGGAAGATAGAAACTCCAAGATCTACTAATGCATTCTCTCTGTCCTTTCTGCCCCAGCAGATGCAGTAGAGAGGCAGACAGCCATGATCTTCAGAGCAGAAGGGAAAAGTCTAGGATGAGAGCCAGAATTCCAAGTTTTATTGTCAGTTTTAGCTATTCGGTAATTGAGAAAGAAAAAAAAAAAAAAGGAGGGAATGGGAGAGAACCTTCTGCAGAACCAGCCTAATGTCCCCATTTATTGCAAATGTCTGGCATTGTGCTAGACAAGATAGAATCACCATTCTATCTTTATTCATTAAATGTCCATTGAATCTACAAAATTTCACCCAGTCCTATAATGCTGAGACCAAAGAAGACTTACAGGTTTCTCGATTCTTCCATCTAAGGCGGGACTATATCTGAAATTACTCTTCTTAGGTTTCGTGACCAAATCTTTTCACTCCTTTGAAAGACCGAAATTGAAAATACCTATGATAATCCAAATATATATTGTAAAGGCTTTATTCAGATAAAATCTTGTTAACAGATTAAGAAGGAAACCAAACAGATAAAAGTGGAACCGCTCTGCTCAGACACAAGAAACTGGCTGAGAAGACTGCCTTGTCTGAAGACCACCACCACACTAGAAAGAAAATGGCCTCAGTGCTCACCACAAGGCGCAGGCACTGAAGTACAGGGGATTCCAGCCTTTAAAGAAGGCAGGGTGTGGGGGGGGGGGGTCAAGAAGAAGGTAGTTAGTGTTAGTGTTGGAGTGTGTCGTCCAAAGGGAGAGGAAAGGCAAGGTCAGGTATATGTGTAATGAAGAACATCTGTACTCATGTGTTGGGCTTCAGGGACTATTCCTTTCACTGCCCAGTGGCCATCCTACATTCTTGTTCAAGGCAAGTGTTGCACTTAGCAATCTTTCACAGTCTCTTTGCTAAGGTCCTTGCTAAAGAAAAAACCCAGAGCCCTTGCTGTCTTTCTGGATGTCTGATGGTGAACCAGAGCAGACCTGGGCTTCCTGCTGCATTTGAAAGAACCTAAATAGCAAGTGTTCCCCTTCTGTTCACACAGCAGAAGCAAGAGAAGACCTCTGACCGGTCATCGGTGCTGGAGATGGAGAAACGGGTATGCACGCCTCCTTGGCCGCCTGCTGCATGTCTTCTTTTGACCTTCTCTAACTTTGTTGTTGGTGCCAATGGAAAAAGTTCATCTTAAGAAGGCGGGAGCTCTGCCACATTCCATTCCAGCTTAATGATAATTTTTTTTTCTTGGTCTGACTCTGGACAGTAATTTGATGACCAGTTCCTTTGGCCTTCTCATGTAGTTGGTTACTTTGAACATGCCAGTTTTAGGGTGGGAAGGAGTCTTGGGACATCATCTCATGCGTTCTTCAGAACTGCACACAAACCAGAGCTGTAAGATAGTTGGTTATTTACATGCATACACAGTCTTTAGCTTTCTGCTCTTTCCATGACCTTAGACAGAAAGGACACTTTGAGCTGGGGATGATGACATGAACCTGTGATCCCCACATTGGAGAGACAGAAGCCAGAAGCAGGATGTCACAGATTCAAGGCTAGTCTGCACTACATAGTGAGTTCCTGGCCATCCACAGCTACATAACAGAACCTAATCTCAAAAGAAAAAAGATAGCCAGTGAGGTGGCCCAACAGTAAAAGCGCTTGTATATACAAGCCTGGCAATTTGGCTTCAGTCAGCAGAACACACAGTGGAAGGAGAGAACTGGTTTCCATAAGTTGATCTCTGACCTCCATACACATAGTGCAGTACACATGTGTGCATGCAAGCATGCACACATGCACATTTTAACAGGAAATTTTTCATGAAGACCCCTTGCCATTGATTTAGGTGTTGTGATTTAAGACCTGAGAATCAGCCTTCATCAGTCCTCTGGTGAGGGAGCAGATTCCTGCCCTGGTTCCAGCTGTACTCAGATGTTTATCTGGGACTTGATGTTCTTGGATTGGGAAAACTCAATTAGATTTAGTGATGACCTCTAATTCCAATTTGACTATAAGGATATAGTATGTTACCATCTTTCTTGTCTGTTTAGTTTGGAAAAAGCTAAGTTTTATATTTCATTACCTTGGCCTGTATCTCATATGATTAAAGACGCCTCATTGAGTTCAAGCTAAACTAAGAGTTACTAGCTGGATGAGAAATGGAGGAGGAGGGGAGAAGCTGGCAGACATCCATGTCTACTTCCCCACTGACCATGTGTTCTCCATCATAAAAGAAGCAGTTTCCCTGGGAACGTGGGTGTAGTATTACTAAAGACAATGGATCTTGGTCTGCTTGTCTGTTAACAGGCTGCTGCCCCTGTATCTTCCAGTTTTCAGACAGAAGACTTCGGTGATGGGACTCTTATCAGTGAAGTAGCCCCATCCCATAGCAGTAGGGCAGAAAGTGCACATATGGAGAAGGTTTGCCCTTGGCTAGAAGGACCCTGAGACTGTGAAGCTGCTAATGTGCAGCATGTGGGCGGGTAGCTTTATGGCTGCTTCCTGGCCTGTTATCGCTTCAACAAGTTCTTTGTTTCTAAACAGGAGAGACGGGCATTGGAACGGAAAATGTCAGAGATGGAAGAAGAGATGAAGGTATGAAGAGGTTGTCTTGATGTATGTCTGTTCTCTGTATGTCTGCATAAGCTAGATGCTTGAGCAGGCTTGCCTGCTCTGTCAGCGCCAACACAGCCCCCTCAGAAGAGGTGATGTGTTAGAGGAAGTGAGCGCCTCTTCTCAGCCATCTCTTAGGTTCTCTCAGCTCATGCTGCATCCACTATGGCCACCTTAGAGGCCTTCTAGGAGCAACGGGCTGGTTTATGAGGAGACCAAGTTCAATTTCTAATTTTCAAAGCAGAGCTTCTCCCTAGGACTAAAGGGCTAGGACAAATTCTCCCCACTCTGCATAGTCCCCACTAGGGGAGCTCCATGGAGCCTAGGCATGGCCACAGGCCTTTCTCCTCATGTGCAGCTCTTGCAGGAGGAACATAAGCTGAGTCATTCTACAGCAAGATGAAAGTTTATTTGCATATTGATTTCCTGTTGTAGGCCATTTCCTCTGCAGTATTCCAGAGTTCTTGGCCTTCACCCACTAGTGCAAACTCATGCTTCTACATGACCTACTTTGAGGACTCATTGCCTTCCTCTTCTTGAGGGATGACCAACAATGACCATAACCTCTTTTAGCTACTTCAATGGACTGTTGCCAATTTTAAGTGCCAGTCCATTACTATAGGAGGGGAAGATAGGGAGCTGGAAGATAGCCCTATCTAAGATAGGGGAGCAGCTCATCTGTTAAGTACACTGTGCTGCATGGCCATAGTCCCTTAGTACTCGCTTGACTTTTTCCCCTTCATTAAGAATCTTATATTTTAGTGGATATGCAATGCCACGTCAGATGTAACTTTCTATAGCTAGGAAGCAGAAACCCTGGACAGTATCCGACAGATTCCCCAAATGGCCTCTGTAATCACCTCTGCTATGCAATTGGGTTACTTTTTAAGAGTCAGTTGTTGTTTTGATGGCCTAAAAGATGTTATTTATGTATACACCACCACCACACTCATAAAAAGTTTTCAGTGCCTAATCAGGTTAAAGGTCATGATTTTACCAGATCCTATACTCACAATCCTGTTACCCCTTATAGTTGTAAAATGGAGGGGAAATGCTGAGCCCTGCCCCTCATTTCGTAGTCACCAACGTCTGGCTGTGATTGGTAATAATCATGTAGGATTTGAAGCAATAACTACTTATTCTTGAAACACTTTAAATTTCCCAGGTCTACTCAAAAGTAGCAGGAAGTAGAAATAGTGTTCAGTTCTGTCAAGACACCACTGAATGTTTCCATCTTCCAGATTTTTTAAACCCACCTCACTCACAGAAGTATTTTCTTCCTCTTAGCATTGTATGTTAACATTGTGTTCGTTCTTCAAGAATGAACACATACAGCTCTATATTCATGAGGGCTTCCCTTCTGAAACCCTTAGCTGTACCATCTGCTCTACTGTTAAGCACCTATCAGTAATGCTTGGTAAGAAATGGCCTGGGCAAGAATGGCTAGAGAAATAACTTAGTGGATAAGAGCACTTGTTGCTCTTGCAGAAGACCTGGGTTTGGTTCCCACATGGTGTTTTACAGTCATCTGCAATTCTAGTTCCAGGGGATCTGATGCCCTCTTTCGACCTCTGTGGGCACCAGACATATACATTGTGCACATACATACATACATACATACATACAGGCAGAATACTCATACACATAAATCTTAAGTAAATATTTTTAAAATATATACTAAAAAAATTAAAGCCCGTGTCTGGGTATTGTGGCATATACCTGTAATTCCAGCACCTGGGAAGCAGAGGCAAGTCTCTGTGAGTTCAAGACCAGCTTGATCTACATAAAGACCCTATCTCAAGAAAAGAAAAAAAAGAAGAAAAAAAACACAAAAATAAGACAAAAAAGAAAGGGACTAAGAATGTAGCTTATAAATAAAGTACTTACTTAGCATGCAATTAGCCCTGGATTTTATCCTAAACCCAATAAACCAGGCATGGTGGTATATCCTGTCACCCCAGGATTCAGGAGATAGAAGCAAGAGGATAGGAGTTCACAATCAACTCTGGCTACATAGCAAGTTCTAGCCAGGATAGGATTCATGAGATGCTGTCTCAGAAAAGGGAGGGAAAGAGAGATGCCGGGAATAGGAAGAAGGACCATATCTGGAGCATATAAATCAGGCCAGAGCTCACACCTCCCACGAGCACCCAGAAGCCCATAGACAGATTGTGTACCCCTTGTGCCGTTCACATAGGCCCCAGACAAAGACTCAAAGGGAGAACTCTGGGCACCTTTTTCTATTCCCATTCTAAATGGGCAAGTACAGAAGTTCTTCTGTGTTCTTAGTTGCTCTGAATCCTTTGGAGTGACACAGGTTTGCATTTTCTTTCTACATTTTTATCCTACCAACCTGTGGTTTTCAAAACTAGGCTATGAATTCCTTTCTTCAGTATTTCAATAGAGATAACAACTCATGAAGATATTTATTCTTCCTAGTCAGAAGTCACTTGCCAACAAACTTAAAGATAAATTGTTCAAGAGGCTGGAGAGATGGCTCAGAGATTAAGAGCATTGACTACTCTTCCAGAAGACCTGTGTTCAATTCCCATCATCCACCTGGTGGCTCACAACCATCTGTAACTCTAATCCCAGAGGTTCTAGTGTCCTCTTCTGGCTACTTCTGGTACAACACACATGTGATGCAAAGACATACATGCAGACAAAAACACATTTACACATAAAGGGGAAACATTTAATTAGCAAGTAGAGCCAGATCATAACTGGTCCTCAAACCGGTAAGTAAGCTGTTTTGGGACTTTGTTAAAAGTTTACCTTATCACTCGGTCCCCATTATTCTCCACTACTACTTACAAAGCCTAATGGTGAAGAAACACCTGCAGACTGTGCTGCCCCAAACTTCATTTGCTCAGTCCTAGCATAATATCCCTTATTGCAAACTGTCTAGCTCCTCTCCAGGACTAAGGAGGAAGAACATCAGAACCTTCCAGTCATACCAGTGTTAGATTTCTGTCTGTACCTTCTTCAAACTCACAAATATATTAGGAAATTGCTGTGTCTGTTCTAAAAGAGTTGGGAAAAATGGTTGTTTAGCTCTCATAGACTTCATTTAAGCTATCATTTATGCTGACCAACTTTTCTAAGGACTAGTGACTAAAATATTTGTATATAAGATAGTAAGTAGCATATTTGTCAGGTCTGGGAAACCTTAGGCGTTGGGACCAGCTGCTCTGTGTATGCACATGCAGACCGTGCAAGCACTCACTCTTTCCCAAAGCCATCAGTAGGGTGCTGTTTGTAGGGTGACTTCCCATTAATGCTCGAAGGCTTGGCAGGCACTCAAATCAGAAAGTGACATCACTGCCTGGTTTCCCGGCACCAACAAAACACAAAAGTCAAGTGAAATGGAAGCCGTGAGATGGGCTCTCCCAGGTGTAGTGCTCTGTGGTTGGGAGGTGGGCTGTGGTCTCTGCCTGGAAAGGTAAGTATGGCTTCTCCCCAGGAGAAGCTCCACTCCACTTAAAGGACAGATCTGGCAGGTGCATGTCAGTGTGAACTGAGCTGGCTCTGCACTTGTCTTGGGATGTCCATACCCAACTGACTACTTCCTGCTTCCGCTTCCTTGCTAGACCTAACCCCATCCTTTCCCAGGCCCTTGCATGAGAAGGGCCCAACAACCATTCCCCTGTAAATGGCTTCTGGGCTCTACTTTGTTTACTCTGAAGTAGCCAACTTCCCCTGAGCTCTGCCCTCTCCCACTTCTTTTCCTCTCCTAGTCATGCTTGTTTCCATGACTGCTTCCTACAGAGCATCCCAGCGGGCTGCTCCCTGCCCTTCTCCATCAGAGTCTCCCACCTAGAGCTGCCTGTGTTCAAATGGTAGACTAAATCCCTTTCCTCGTTCTCTGCTGTAATCTCTCTGGGAGGCAAAAACCACTTCCTGTGATGACAGTGAGTGTATTAGAAGCTTGGATTAGATGTCAACACCAATGAAGGACATAAGCCAGGGGTTTCTGTGGTTCTTCAACTCCTCCATGTGCTGTTATGATCTCTCTCACCTGTCCCCTCCATGGTCAAGATGCTTACAGTCAGTAGAGGATGACCTAGTCTACTCTCCTGTGGCTGCGTGGAACTGCTTGACAGCCCTACCCTTTGGGGGAGTCATTCTTCCTCTCCTGACAAAGATCTGTTCAGCGGTTTGTCTCTACTTGTTTCTCAGTTTCACTGGTTTCTCTCATGCTACTCTCATTTTCTTGCTGGTTCACTCCCAAACCATTGCCCCACTAATCTTCCATTTCTGTCCTTCTCTCTGTGTAGTATGAGAGACTTCCCTGATACCCGGAACCTTTCTTTTTGTTATTGCTATAACCCAACCCCTATTTGAATAACAAGGTCATTTCCCTTTCTGGAAAGAGATGATAGTCTCTTTCCAGGTCAGTGCAGAGGGTGCCTTAGGAGGGTATGTCGCAGAGTTGGCAGGCCTGTGCTGTAATCACCTTATTGAAATCTTCGAGGCACTTGTGAAATATGAGGCATTGGAAAGAGTATCAATGCCCATTATCCTATTCATTTGCAACACTGATGCACAGGTGGGACCAGACTACCACAATGATCCAACCAGTTCCATCATCGCCTGGCATTTATGATTTCTCTGCTTTTGTGTATTTATAATTTTCAGAGTGTATGTCTGTTTGAATACATTTAAGCAGCTCCTACCCTTGACATGCCCTAGGGCAGAGAGCACACAGTTAGCTATGAACTCAGTGATACATATAGTCATCTATAGCAGGTAGAAGCCAGTTGGCAGTTGCAGGACTTGAACAAGCTCTGCGTGCTATTGAAAACTGGGAAAGTAAATTAAGCTTCCTGTAAAACATGTTACAGGTCCACCCAGAGAGCTGGCAGATGTCACATCGCCTTCTAAATAATACATGCTATATGCAGAAAGTGCATAAAGAATATGCCCCTCTTGTTGTATTTTTTTAATTAAGTAATAAATTAAGAGAACAGGAAGAAAACAAATAGGGATGGGGCAAGTGTGAGGACAAGATAAAGGGAGAAAGAAAAGGGTGATGTTTGGATTTAGGAACACACACACACACACACACAAATCCTCAGCCCTAGTCCCAGTGTCACTGAGAGACCCAAGGCTGAGGCTCTGCGTATGAATTTGTCAGAAGGCCCCAAGCCATATGTTGGCTTCTCATTCTCAAGTGGTCCCCATGTGGTTTTTATGCTTGTATAGCCAATAGCAGCATGCTAAGGGCTCATCCAGGAACCACAGACACTGCTCTCCCTCTGCCGCATCGCTCCTCCACCTCCCTGGACAGCCCGCTCTCATCACTACTGCCTTTCCCATCTCCTTTCTTGCATGCAAACTAAAAACAAAAACAAAAAGTCACGTAGTTTCTTTGTCCTACTTTTTTCTCCTCTGCTCTGTCTTGTCCGTCCTGTCTGTCTCCTTCATGTCTCACTCTCTGCAGAACCTTCACCAGCTAAAACAGATTCAAACCTTGAAGCAGATGAACGAGCAACTGCAGGCTGAGAACAGGGCCTTGACCCGAGTGGTGGCCAGACTCTCCAAGTCCATCGAGTCCTCGGACACCCAGGAGCTCTAGCTATTGCCCTTCCTCTCCACCTCACTTCCCTCCTCTACTACTCCAGGCAGGTTTACTCTTCTTGTTGGTCCCAGAAGCCCAGTACCCATCCCCTCCATCAGAGCCTCCATGTCCAGGTATCTGGAGCAGGACTTAGAACATATAAGGGACATAAGAAACCCATTCAAGGGTGGCAGTGGGGAGACTGTTTGGGCAAGCTGGGTGTCATGTTCAAGTCACCACATCACGGTTCTTCCCTTAGAGACTGGACATAGATTTACTTACTCAGCTGCACATAGATACACAAGTGTGTATATTTATTTACCTGTATGCATGCATGCATACATAGTTACTTCATTGATGGGGTCTTTGTCAAACTGAGAGAGAGCTTTCTCGGCTAGCAGTAGCCCGATGTATCTGTACCGGTTAGGGCCTGGAGTAACCAAGGGCAAGAATTCTCAAATCTGACTGCATGTTAGCTCCAACTGGGAGCCATTAGTATACACCAGGTCTGGGCCCATTCCAAATGCTCTGTTATTTGGATTGAGACCAGGGCATCAGTATTTTCCTAAAGCTCCTCTGTTGGTGTGTATGTGACTGTGGTTGAGAACCACAACCCGTTGACTACCAGATGGAACTTACTCCCCACCAGTGACAGTGCTGCTGGATGGAACGGACTAGGATGAAGGCCAGGATTCCCTGACTCACCTCTGCTCTGAGCAGAGACACCCTCCTTCCCACCACTGGGGCAGAGTTAGATAAGCGTTCTTTGCCTCTTTCTGAGAGCCTTTGCTTTCATCTTCCTCTTGGAACATTTGTCTCATTCCCCTTACAAGTCTCCTGGCTCCTGGGATGTATCCCTCCCTGCCCTGAGTATGTGGGCTGTGAGGCAGACCGTGAGCAATATAAATGAGCCTTTCTAATGGGAGGGCAAGCAATGGAGCAGAACAGTGTTTATTTCCAACTGAAAACCACCCCTCAAAAATGTGTGTGGCAGACTAGAACCTTCCTCTGGCTATGGATCTGAAAGACAAGCTCATACACAGTTTGTTTCCCATCCCAAGATAGTGTGACAGGGTCACCATGTCCCTGAAATGAGTTCTTGATTCTCAGCAACAATCTAATTAGTCCTGACTGGAGCCTGTCCTTTCCCTGCCTGTTTGCATTTGCCTCTGGGATCCGTAGCTGACAGTGAGTGCCCACTAGTACTGAGGGACCCAGATTACCCTAAGATGCTGTCACAGGCAGAACGAAATGGAAAGGGATGTGCTGCCACAGCAAGGCCCTGAGCAACCAGCAGGAAGTCCAAACTCTGTCTCAGAGTTAGCTTTAAAAGTCCTGAAAGGTGCTCACATGTTGCTCTACAGCGGAGCATGTGCTTACCGTGCACCAGGACCCTTGGTTCAGTCCCAGCGTACAGACATGCACACTCAAGGAAATTTTGACTTAGGGAAAAGTAGAGACCCCCAAAAGTCCCAGTTATTTTTGGTCTCCCAATTTGTTGCAAGACAGTGTTAGATATGTGGCAAAATTTCATTTCAGCCTTTCGGTGATTAATAACTTTAACAACTGGCATTTATTAAAGTCTGTACTGAGTGCTTTATGCTTTTCTCATTGGTTTCTCAGCACCATGCATATATATTTAAAAAGCAGGTTACAGAATCAGAAATAAGCCCAAAGTCCCTTGGAAAGTAAATGGTTGAACAAGAATTCAGACACTGTGTTAGATTCCAGACTCTGCACTCACCCTCCTGCGAAACAAGCCATCTGCATATTTTGCAGTCTTAACAATTCATTAAGCAGCTACAGCGCAGGACAGCATTGCATCAGAGAGTAACAGACAGAATTCTACCTTCTCAGTACTCTGTCCTATTTAAAAGGCCAGTTTCAGCCAGGTATGGTGGCGCATGCCTTTAATCTGAGAAATTGGGAGGCAGGCAGGCATATCTCTATGAGTTTGAGGCAGGCCTAGTCTACATAGTGAGTACAAGGACAGCCAGAGCTGCAAAGAAACATCCCATCTCAAAACAAAAATCAGTTTCCAAAAAACATTTACCTGTCAAAATAATGCCATTACCTGGTACCTGACCTACAGTAGTGAGGGAAGCAAACTATGGCCCATGTACCATGCCAGTAGCTGAAAAGAAAAGAAATCAAGAGAATTGTATTTGACAAATAAAATTCCTGTGGAATTCAGATTTCAGTGTCCAGAAATTAAGATTTATTGGAAGTAAACCATATATTTTAGTTTCTGCATTATCAGTATGTGACACCTGCTAGGCCACAGTCAAGAAATGAGGTAGCCACAGCAAAGACTGTAGCCTGTAACCTAGTCTAAAGTACTTACTGTGTGGACCTTGACAGCCAAAGCCTGCCAGCTGACACCTCCCAAAGCCTGCCAGCTGACACCTCCCAGTAGGAACAATGGAGTAACTAGGCCAAACTGGCAGTGTGATCAGGAGATTTTGCCCCATTCTCACCCTTCCAAGTCCTAACCCAGCCCTTAGTGACATCCAGCTCCACCTTCAGAGAAAGGGAAGGCTCCCACATCAAGCAAGGCAGTTTGGTAAGGCTTATTGTGAGACCCTCCCACCCACAGCTAGCTTTGTGTGACACCCTGAAGCCTCAGGACCCATCCCTTTCCTTAGCACAGTACTCATCACAGGCTGTATGGAGTAATATTTAAGAACACATGTACTTGATTGTGTCTTAAGTCTCAACATCTACGTGGCAGACTAGAAATTCAGAAATGGAGAAGCTGAAGCCTAGAGATCTGCTCCATAAAACCCCGTGCTTGACAGCACTGTCATGTGCATCTTTATTTAACTCTTTAGCTCTGTTCAGTCCCCTCATTTGAGCGTGGAGTCCGTGTCCCTGCGTCCTCGGTCTGCACACCACTGGTGCTGTACATTCTCTTCAGATGTCAGAGGTTGCAGCTGTGAAATTGTCTTGTCCATCATTTCACCCCAAAGAACTGAGCTCTTAATGTGGAAGAAAAAATCACCAAACACTAACAAATTGTACCTTTTTCAAAAGCAGCTCAATTCTAACTTGGTAAGCAGTTAACATAACCCATTGCTATAGATATAGCTTCTTCACACCTGTGGGATCTTGCTAAGGAATAGGGTTTGGGGGAGACTGGAGAGATGGCTCAGTGGTTAAGAGCACTGGATTTTCATCCAGAGGATCCAAGTTTGATTCCTGGCACCTTCATGGTCTTAAAACCAACCTATGTAACTCCTGTTCCACAAGATCCAATACCCTCTTCTGGTCTCCACAGACACTAGGCACAGACACATGAGCAGGCAAAACACCCATACATAAAAGAAACATTGTTTGAATTGAAAAGTCCCACCAGGCAAACAAACCCCCAGAGGGAACAATAGAGAAGAGATGGAAGGTACCAGCCTGGGCAGAGTTTGCTGGTGTGAGCTCGGAGCACTCCATCCTGAGAGGCACGAAAGAGGCTAGCCAGCGCTGCTCTGGGTTGGAAGAAAGACAAACTTGGCTTCATAATCCCTTAGATTACAGTCTTATTGGTGAAGTGTATAGATCTTGTCTGCTCTTCCAGAGTCATGGGAAGCTGGATGGTAGCAGGAATTCCCAGCATTGCAAAGCCCATTGCAGACACTAGCACTTCCATGTCTCTTATTCCTGTCTGCCTCTCAGAGACCCATCTGCAAGGGAGCAGGGCGGTTCCTATTCTTTTGTAGCTACAAGCAGAAATATAGAGATGTCAAGTGGTTTCTCTAGAGCAATGGTTCTCAGCCTTTCTAATGCTACGATCCTTTAATATAGGTCTTCATGTGGTGACTCCAACCATAAAATTATTTTATTGCTACTTCATAACTGTAACTTTGCTACTATTATGTAAATATCTGATATGCAGGATATCTGATGTGACCCCCGTGAAAGGGTTATTTGACTATCCCCAAAGGGTTGTGACCCACAGGTTGAGAACCTGTTGACCAAAGTAATGTAGATCATTGAGAGTGACCACTCCTGAATTTGTTTCTGTGCTACAACTTCTTTGGAGTTTTGTTTTCCATTCCTACCTGTAATGAAGAGATAGTCTTTGAACTTGAGCACATATGGGTATAATTTCATCACTAGGACCTAATAGCTAGCTGCCCTGGACTAGTGATGGACATATGCTCCCTTGTTTATAGAGATAAGGAGAACAGCTGCAGCACAAACTGCTGAGGTGTCAGTGAGACCTTCTAACCCCTCACCCCAAAATTGTAGATGTTGTTTTCCCTTTGTTCTTGGGCATGGGCTTTGGGGGCATGTGTACACACATACGCACACACATGTTCATACACTTGCTCACAATTGTATAATGTAACCTGCATCTTCCTCGTGAGGTTGGGGAAACAAATATCATATTTCTTCAGGTGCATCTTAGATTCCCTACTTTAATAGTAATACCAAGAGCTCGGACTACATGGCCCATGATTCCTGAGCCCAGGCCACCCTTTTCTGGAAGCCTTGCTTACTGTATAGATCCTAAAGGTTGAAGTGACTGATCAATGAAAGAAAGGGTGTCTGCATGACAGTGAGGATACAGATTTCTGGAGCCTTCATTGTGAAATGTATTTACCTTCTAACCCCAGTCTACCCACAAGGCCCACACATGAACTGTAGCTCATTAAGATTTTTCAGATGTACAAAATATCTGTCAAAGTGCCTGATCACAGAATAAAGACTTGGGTGTCCAAGCTGGAACTTGCTCTTCCTGTATTCCTTGAGTTGAGTAACAATATGTGTTGTGTTCCAAGATGGAAGAACTGACAGATGGAATCTTCACTCAATTCCTTTTTCCATAAGCCTCTGTTTGACAGAATTATTCTAACACCATCCACCAGAGTGTTAGGAAAGCCCCCTGGGTCTTGGCCATATCTCTAAGTTCCCTGAATGTTAATGTTGAGAATAGGTGTGTGTAGTATGACCAGTGAGAATTTGGGTGGATTCTAGTTACCAAAGGCATCAGGACAAACTTGGTCATCTTGTGGCAGAAAGGCCAAGTTCTGTTCCTCAGCTTGCATGTTGTTCCTTATGGGGTGTGCAGTAGTGCCTTTAACTCCTAAGAGCCACACTCTCTCTGACTCCTTGCTGAGCTTCTTTGGCAGTCTCCCGAGTTTCTTTAGGCTGTAGGTGAGTTCAAGGGCAGGAACAATTGTAAATAGCTACTGGCTCAATAGAATAGAACTATAGGCTATGTGGAATATGAAGCTGGCTCAAAAGAAGAGGAGATGTATTTTCCCTAAATACTTACATGCCCAGCCCAGTAAATAGGAAGGTCGAAGGGCTTTATCCCCGAGCAAAAGGGTAGTAACAGCTTATCACATAGCTGTCCTAGGAGGCCCTGCTCACCTGCTGGCTCAGCCTGGGAAGGTAGCGGCCATTGCGCCAAGCTCTAACACATCTTTTCCTCTGTCACCGCAGGTGTTAACAGAACTGAAATCCGACAATCAGAGGCTGAAAGATGAAAATGGTGCCCTCATCAGAGTCATCAGCAAACTGTCCAAATAGGCGAGGTCAGATCTGGGAGGAGGGGACAGCATTTGCTGCACACCCCTCGTTTCCGGCCAAAAGAAGTGAATGTTTCTGAAGAAGGGCACCTCCTCTGCACTGCACATTTTCTCTGCACTCTGTGTCCCACTGCTCCCGCACTTCAGCCCAAGTTTTATGACAGTTTTAACTGAAGCATGATTGTGACTATTTCAAGCAGTCTGGAGAAAGCTTTGTGGGGTATACCAAGCTCAGCTGTGAACCCCCACTTTCTGCTGCTTTGTCCACATTGGTTTTGGTACAGATATGTAAGGCTTTGACCCATAGCCTTTATACTGACCCACTGTCCTTTGATATAGGTGAGTCTTGTGGTGGCCACTCCAGGATCCTATCTGGGGTGCCAAGAGAAAGGGCAGAATGTGGAGTTACTCTCTGGACTGCCTCTGGAGCTGTTGTGTAGAGTTCACGGTGGTTGTGACTCTGGTGTTCACCTCTCAGGGACTGACCTGTTTTTACTTTTCTATCAATAACCTAGAACTTCCCTGACTAGTCTTAACCCCATTTCTCCTTCCACACGGCTTTAGATGCTCCTGGACTCTCTTGCTCCTTTTCTTTCTGTCCTTTTATCATTTCTTCTCCCAGCCTGATGGCATAAAAGCTGGAACAGAGCTCCTGACCTTAGTTGTTGGGGCTGCTGTGGAAAATCATCGTTCTGTTGCCATGGTACCGTGACCCCGTCCCTGCACAGCTAGAGGGTGACTTAGGAGTCAGCTTACTGTTCTCCTCTCCCCCTTGCCGCTTACAGAGTGATTTTCTGGGCTCTTCAAGTCAGACATAGCAGTATACACCTACGGTCTCAGCACTCGTGAAGCTGAGGCAGGAGGATCAGGAATTTGAGGCCAGTTACATAGCAAGACCCTCTCAAGGAGAGGGAAATCTGGATTCCGAATGTTGAGTTTGCCTTGCTCCCTTTGGCCTTGTTTACTTTTCCACTTGTGCACCTGCTCCTAATGAGGAATGAAGTTGCAAGTCCAGGGAGAGGGTGGGGGAGGCGGGTGGAAGCAGGCTAGAGAGAAAAGGAGAGAGCATGTAAGGACACTTGGAACGCTGTGCTTGTACTGTGAGATGATGGGAACTTCTGGTAGTCGCATTCAGGGAAGAGGCATTGCCCTTCTTAGAAGCCGACAGGAGAAATGACTGCTGGGGTAGAGACTAAAGGGGGCGATCCAGTCCATAATAAGACTCATGGATTCTTAAGAGTGGCAAGGCTTGCACATCATCTGGCCCAGCTTCCTCGTGTGATAGGGACCCCTCTGCTGCCATAGCTTTGCCCTATGGTTGGCCTTTGGTAGCTATGCATTTAGTGCTTAAAGCTTGGGCACCTCTAATAACCATCGTTTTTACTAATAGGAGCTGAGGTCTGCTGCTCCCCGCCTGCCCAGCTCATTAAGTATGGATGGGTGGTGGTCTCCACTTCTGTAGTTCCTGCAGTCCCTCTTCAGATGTCATGATTTTGATGCCTGTCACATCTTGACTCCCCTAGAGTCTAAACAAAGGCAGCCCTTTAGATTATCGTGTCTCCGTCTCTACAGAGTGGTCCATAATTCCAGCGCATAGTTAAAGTGCGAGTTCTCATCGATGAGCCAGTGCTGATGCGGGTAATGCTTGATTTCTGTAGGCATTTTGTCCTTTGGATCACATTAAAGGACAGGTCCTTTAGGGTCTCATTATTTTGGTGTTGCCAGTGATGTGGACCATTCTAACACTACCTCTGTCATTCTCTTTCATGAGGCTGCCACTGTCCTTTTCTGTGACCCTTGCAGGCTTCGTGTGCTCTTAAACAAGCTGTAATTCAGGGTCTTTGTCACAGACGAGGACCACGCCCACTCTGACACACTTTGAGCATGTGCAGGGTTCTCTCTGCCATTTCAGCCCACTCTTCTGAGGAGTCTGTGCTGAGCCACTCTGCTATGGAGCACTGAGCCCAGGTTTTAGAAGGGACTGAACCACAGTGGGAAGGACCCGTCTTCTGCTATAGGAAGCGAGAAATGCCAACAACATGTCAGCCAACTGGTTCTCCTAGAGTAGCTAGGACATTGGGAAAGAAGGGGTTGGGAAAAGAAAATGGGATGTTAGGAAAACATTTTGCGCCTCCTCCATTCATAGACCAGGTAAAGGTGTAAGTCCAGGGGCAGGTTCTCAAAACTCACAACCTGGCGTTAATGCCTGCTGCTGTGTGTGGCCTTCCAGGAAGGTTCCTCATGACAAGCTGTTTATAAGCTCTTCAGCCTCAGGAATCCTGGGCTCTGGAGCCAAGAGCTCATCGTAGCACAGATGCTCCCAGGTAATTCCAGGTACTTCCTTTAGGCCACTAATTTTATTAGACAGAAAACATTGTGAATTGGTCTCTTCAAAATGATATTGACTGAAAGCCTCCATGAAGGGCATAGGCCTTCTGATAGCCAGCTAGACTCTCGGTGCTGGTCTCCTTTCCTTTGTTCTCTCCCGGTGACCGCCAGCCTCACTGGCTGACTTGTTGTGAGTCATCTCACAGCTGGAGCTTAGTGACCCACTGGAAGCCAGTAGCCATGCAGGACTCCCCGGTCGCAAGCCTGTCTTCCTGGGAAATTCAGATGGGACAAGAATGTCCTCACTACAGCATCACACCCTATGTTCTCATTCATCTGACAGCTTTGGGAGTAATGACAGGACCAGTCCAGAGATTCTGGGCCTGGAGTTTTCCTGTTTGACTTTCAGGGGCTTCTGAGCCTTTCCAGACAGTACCTGGAAGTTCTGACTGCCAGTTTCATCCCTGTCTCTAGGGGAAGGTGGGTGGTGCACATTTAAGGGTGTTGCCTCAAAAGAATCAGAAGAACAGCTCGATCTTGGACCCACTCAGTACACTGAGTTCTCAACTGGGCTGGTCTCACTTCCTAGAACCTCCTTGTCTGTCCAGCAGTGGCCATGTTCTCACCCCTGCTTTCCCTGCTTCTGTCCCAGGCCTCAGTCTTCTAGATGCAAGCATTGTTCAGTGAGGTGAAGTACCGGAGTAGTCTGTGGGCCCTACAAAAGAGTATATAACCAGAGATGAGAGGAGGAAGTCTCCAAGCCATGCCCTTTGCCGGCACTCTGGTTTCTGGCCCCTTCGAGGCCTTTCCTCGAACATACAGACAACTGTCTCCACCCAGTGTAAAGTACTGACAGTGCTGGCTCTTGCGAGGAGCTGGACCTCGGTGACCAGGAGCCTGGGGAGGAGGAGATTGCAGAGAGCATCTGTCAGCCGCTTCCAGACTATTGTATGACTTGAAACAGAAGCCTCATTGGGCAGCTAGGATGGCTAGTGACTAGCTTCCCCAGCAGGTGAGCTACAGCATCCGCTGCAGGAGCCCACTGTCTTCCCTCAGGACCACAGGGCTCTAGTCCATGGTTACACGCCTTTTCAGAGGTGGGCCCCACGCACATCTCAATTGCCATTCTATTCTGCAAACCCTCAAACATAGGTCCCTGGACCCAGGAAATGAGGCAGCTTTGAGGGCAGTATAAGGTGCTCACAGTTGAGCCACACGGAGTCCAGGACCAACTTATTTAACTGTAACCCTTGGGCAAGATAATTTCTTAAGGCCCCATGGGGCTTAAATTTCTGTAATTTATTCATTTCTAGAAGGATGAGAACATTTTGACTCTTAGATTTCTGCTTTTCAAATTTTCAAGATCAGTCTTGTTTTCTTCCCAAACTCAAGCTGTTTAAGATTGGGGTGTCAAGGCTGACCCTTCCTCTTTCCTGGAAAGTGGAGTTACCACTGAAAGCAATTGAACAGTGTTGTGATTGTTTTCTTTCTGGTGGTTAGGTAACCTGAAGAGGTGGAGATGGTAGCTGGTAGAGGGTGGATAGAGCAGTATGTCACTAGGAACCCAGCTCCACTTGAGGTTTGCCCAGCCACCTCTCCTAGATGTGACCAGCACTGCTTCTCAGTACCCAAGCAACAGACTTAACTAGGGATTCTGTTTGGCACCAGCTAGTTCCCAGTGTTGAACTCTGCCTTGAGCAGCAAGAGCGCTCCACAGCGAAGAGCACAGCCACTACTTCAGCTGAGCTCTGCCTCTGAGCACTAAGCTCTCAGAAGTGCGGCGTTCTGGGGCTGTTCAAGGTGGTCTTTCACAAGGGAAAGAGTTCACAGACCCCACAAACCACATAGCATAGAATGGTACAGTCAGGGCTTGGATGGAAGGAAAAGGACAAACCCCGGAGGTGGGTGCCTGCAGGTGTGATGGGTAAAGGTCTTTGGATGTGGAACAGGATGGAGACTGCAGACCCTGGGAGAAAGGAAGCCTGATTTCTGCACCTGGAAGTGCGTCTGTCTCACTGAGTTCTTTCCTCAGTTCCAGCTAAGCCTGAGAGGAGATTTTAATCAGTCTTCCTAATGGGTATTGACACTGCTCAGAGCAGTGGACTCTGTCAGGGACAACTATTGATTGCTTGTGTTCTGATTAGATTGGAAAAATAGATCAACTTCATTATAGCCCAGGAGCTGTCATTGTCACAGCTACAGAGGAATGAAGTGGTCTCTGGGGGCCGAGGAAAAACAACTGGACCCCAACAAACCAGAGGGCATCTGGAAGTTGTCTCCACATCTCCTCGCAAGCTGTGGTGAAGGTCACAGTTGCAACCCAGTGTCTGGGTGCCTGCTCGCGAGATGGTGGGGGAGGAAACTTCTAAAGCCCATGCATTGATGCATGTTCTGGCCTTACCTCAGAAGACTTGTCAGGGTGAGGCTCTCTTCCAGCCTGGGAACACACACACACACGTGACAGGTGATTCATTCTGGGAATACACAGTCACATTCTCTCTCTCTCTCTCTCTCTCTCTCTCTCTCTCTCTCTCTCTCTCTCTCTATTTCTCTCTCTCTCTCTTACACACACACATTTGCCAGGCTGGAGCTTTTTAAAAGAGGTCTGGTGTTTTCTTGATTAGAAATGAGAACTCAGAAACCAATTTAATCCAAGTGTGTAGCTCTGTCTCTTTTTCTCTTCCCGCACCAGCTTCCCAAAGGACTCCCATGCATCTGCTTGTCTCCCAGCTTGGTAATCTGCCAGAATGACATTTTGTTATTTTTGCCTCTAAATTTTCCCCTAATGCTTCCAATAAAAATGTACTTGGGTGGCCCTTAAGGTGTCATCAAGATGGTAGCGTAGGTCCTTCCAAATAAGCACACCCCTCCCCCGCCTCCCCTCACACTCCTCAGGCCTTGCTTCTATACTTGGGCTTGCTGGTGCTTGAGGGACAAGGTTTCCCATTAAGCAGCCAAGGGTCCTGGAGAATTTTCAAACGCCAACAGCATGTCATTTTCCCCCACCACCCATAGCCAACCCCTATTCCACTTTCAAGGCCCCTCAGAGACAAGATTTGGCGTATAGGTCTAGACGATTCCTCGTCGCAGCGCTGTCTGAGACGTTCATTCCTTCTTTTCCTGGGGATGTGACTGGTCCCTGCATAAGGCAGAAATGTCTCTTCAGCACAGGCTGAGCTAGTCTGTTTGTATAGAAGTGACAGCCAGCCAGCCAGGAGAGAAGATCCAGAAAAGGCTGGACCATAAGGAGTCCTAAGAGCCTCTGACGTGCTCTTGAACCCAGAGCGGAGGTCAGAGCAGGATCCTGGACAGGGGACACTCGGGCCAGCACCAGTTTGTTTCTCTCCCAAGTGCTGTGTCTGTGCTGTTTCCAACCCTACTCTCCTGAAACCTCAAGCGGATTCCAGCTCACCCTAGGATGGGAGTCTAGTACAGAGTAGCTGCAGGGAAAGGCAGAGAGGTGGGTCCAGGAGAGCATCCATCCGACATGCTCACCTTGCCGGTCTCCTGCCTTGAGCCCTTGGATTTCCCTGAAGAGGGGAGTAATGTGCCACAACTGCGCCCTCTGCAGCGAGGTGTGGCCTACTCTGAGGCAGTGTAGTCTGGTTTTGGCATCACCGTTTTTCTCTGTTCGTGTTTCCTTCGCCCTGGTCTTGATCACCACTTGAACGCTAGCATTTTGCGTTTCCTCTCTCCACCCTTCACCCACACTTATGCACCAGATGGAGCTGTTCTCCAGCTGAGTTGTGTAGATGAACTTCAGTCAACTGTAAAGACACCTGGAGGAGGCTCCTGAGTGAGGGGAAGCCAGACTGGCTTTGTGAACTGAATGTATTTTTATGCAACTTTGAGTGGCCTTTCAACCCTGAGATGGATGGATTTGCTTTACTGGTTGTTATTATATGGTATTAAGTGTTCTGTGTTTGAAAGTTTGGGAATAATATTCACATCTGTATGATGCCTGTAAACACAACAGTATTTATAAATGAACAAATAAAACTGTGTTTTAACTTTGTGCCATGAAAGTGATAGAGCTTCCCATTCACCAGGCAGCCCCCAGCAGTTCCCACTGGCTTAGAAGTCTGCACGGGCAGCCACAAGTGCACAAGTCACCACATGCCCTGCCCCAGGAAGGTCTCTGGGAGCATCATCAGATCTCCTGGGTTTACTGGCCAGGGAAAAAGCCTAAAGTTTTAGAGCAACCCTGAGAAGAAATCGGGGTTTCCAGAGCCTAAGGGTGGCTGTTTCATTGAAAGTAAAAAGCAGGGTGTGTGGCCCACCTGATAGACCCTAACATCCATCCTACATAGGGAAGCTGGACCGAGGGAGCTGCTGGTGGTACTAGGCTCTGCAGGCTCCCAGCACCACACTGTCCTCCACCTGGTAAGGGTTCCTTAGGTCACTGATTCAGGACATCCGAAAATGACCCATGCACATGAAGCTAATTCTGGGGTCATTCAAGGTTGAGTCGAAACTCTGAAGAAAAGGAGCCTAGCTCAGCTCCAGGCTGCTGGTAGGGCTGGGGAGTGGGCAGCCAGGTTTGGGTCTGCTTTCTGCCAAGTGGAAATCCTTGGTCACTGACTTGGGAGGGAGGGAGGATTCTTTTCCCCTGCTGTCACCCAGCTGTTTGTAGCTCACCAGCAAGAGGAAATAGGCATGATGTCATGGTTGAAGAGTTCAGCCCTGGCTTTGGGGTTTGAAGCAGCGGCAAAGCATGATTGACACAGGACTTCCTAGACCACAAACATCGTTTCTCCGGGGCCCCTGCTGGCTGCGCAAGGTCTGTAGAGTCAGCTTCATCTACTGGCCATGGGTACCGGCCTGCAGCAGAGCAAGACACCCACGGTCTTGGGTCCCATGGCCTCCAAGACTGAAGCAGCCAGCCAGCCAGGTCTGGGCTCCTGCCAGCTCAAACGGGCGCTCTGCCCAGCTGCCTTCACTGCCCCTTGACCATCTGGACTTGACATGAAACACAAGCCTAGTGCATGATGGTCCTAGACAAGCAACAGACTGATGAACTATCCTCTGGAGCTGAGAACTAAGAGTTTAATCTTTTCCTGATTTGGGCCATACTGCCCCCTACTCTGTCCGTAAGCATTCGGAAGCCTTACTGGTCCTGGTACCCCTGCCTCGTCAGTCACAGACAGACAGCCTTCTTTAGGGAACAAGACTGGAGACTTTGTAGTTTCCACTTTTAAACATCTACACCCTGGGACCAGCAGCCTCCATGATGTCAGCGTCAGACTGTGGCTGTCCCCTAAGCTCAGGTTCCCCAGAGGGAAATCACCAGTATGGGACAGCCTTGTCCTCTCAGGAGGGTGGGCCCTGTGTACCTACCATCCACCAGAAACCCCATCTGCCCTACCCCCAAACCCAGAAGAGAATGGGCTGTGACCCCTTCGTGCTGGGCTAGAGGCCAGAGCCCCAAAACCAGCTCACCTCCCGGCCCAACCCTGCTGCCCGACTGGGGCAACTCTGCCCTCCCCCACTAAAAAAAAAAAAAGGAGAAATGCTCCCCGCCCCCAGGTTGCTTTCAGCTCTTTTCTTTAATAAGGAGACGCAGCTCATTACAAAATAACAATCCGACAGATCAGACAAGAACAGAGTCCACAGAAGGGAATGGAGAGAGCAGTGCCAAGCAGGGGGGGAGGGGGAGGGCTACACGTGTCCTCATGAAGACAGGGAGGGCTCCTGGTGGGGCCAGTGCATTCCAGGGCTGACGTGGGCACACTCGGGTTCTGCCCCAGTCCCAGTTTTGAAAGTTTCTGGACGGGCCCAGGGTTTTCAGAAAGCAAATCAAGTAGTCCTTAGCTGACCAGGAGTCAAACGGGGTGGTGAGGCTTTCCGGTCGTTATCTAACTCCTGGCTGCTGAGGAAAGCTGGGGTGAAGCCAAGGCCCACACACTGCTCCCACAACCTTGCCACACTCTCCTGCCACTGTTCCCAGTGGGGAGTGGGGGACTCCAGCCACCCCCAGTCTACACTGAAATCGTTGCTCCAGTTGCCCCGTTTGTTGTTTCAATAACACAAAAGTCCCTGGGACCTGCGTGTGCTCAAGCATCATGGTTTGTAAATAGCAGAGCCCCTTGTTGCCTCTGGCTTTGGCCTGAGGTCCCCTGGATTAGTAACATATGACTGCACTCCTGGGGAGTCCTGTGGGTGCCCAGGCTGCTCCAGGTCTCTCTCCCTATAGAGTTAGCACTTGTCATGCCTGCTCAGGCTGCCCTGGGAGCTGAGGTGAGGGGCAGAGCCTAGTGCCTCCACCTTGTTCTCAGGGACACCCTGCTCTGTGGCGCTGCCAGACCAAAGAGGGAGTTGTGGGTAGAAAGCTTAACCCACAGCAGTTCTTGGTTTTCCCCACGGGTCACTTCTCCACTGCTCTCTGTGGGCCCTGACAGCTCAGGGAGAAAGAAGTAGGCTGGGCTAGCCTTGTTCATCCCAGGCTATGGTGAAACCCAGTTACAGGCTGGGCTGCTGACTTCTGAGAGATCTAAGTCACAGAGCACACCACTGCCCTGCCTACACCCAGGATAGAGTCGAGTCCCACCATCAGACCTAAGCCAAGAAAGCCAGCCAGGGCCATCTCCCGGGACCCCACCAGAAGCCCTGAAATGCCAACTGTCCTCATGATGCAGGGCTGAGGGAACAAGAGAGGATAAAGGACAGGTGAGCCCTTCACAAGTGTTCTGTGGGGAGCCAGTTGGAGGGACAGGGGTGCTCCTGGGAGGAGTCAAGGGCAGCCTCCAGTAGGAGGCCCCTTTATGGCTTTTCAGTTTATTCAAGACAGTGGGAAGAAAGGAACCACACCACACACATGGAACATAAAGGCAACAGGACACCAGACACAGGCTAGACATAGTACACTGTGCCCCAAGGGTTAACCCTGCTGACAGACATGCAGCAGACCTGCCGCAGGGCTTGTGTTCTCCAGCATCTTCCCCGGGCAAGGCTGGCACCGGGGCCAGAATGTGGTCTCCCATTGCGGACATTCCCTGTAGGGGATGTAGGGTGGGACTGGGGACAGAGACTTTACACAACATAAAATCAAGGAGCAGCCAGTTTTGTAAAACAGGTTTGGGGTTGGGAGATGAGGGGGCGCTCAGCATTGCCATGCGGCTATTTACAGAGTTGTAGACATGCATCTTGGTCAAACAAGAGTCTGCTCATGTGTTTATAGATAGCATCCTCTCTTATAATATAGAACTAAATGCACGTGGAGGGGTCAGATGAGGCTCAATGGCTTCAGAAGTTTCCTGTTTTGTTGTTGCTTAAAAAATAAAGTATATTCTTACATCTTCAAGTCACAGTGTCCCCTTCTCAATATTGCAGTTCGAAAAACAGGTTAAGTCAAGTCTGTGGTAACCAGCTCTGGCCCCTGGGACTGAAGAAAAGAGGGATGAAGTAGCCAGAGGGCATATTGCCAGACACAATACAGGATTAGCCAATTAAAATTTAAATTTCACATTAAAGAATGAATCACTTTATAGTACAGTATGTCCCAAATATTGCATCAGACATACTTACACTTCAAAATTATTTATCTGAAATTCAAGTTTAACCAAGTATCCTGTATTTGTATTTGCCAAATTTGGCAGCCATTATGGGGCGCTGGGACACCTCCTGCTCCCCATGGCTCTGAGAGAAGACCCCAACCAGCCTGCGGTGGGCGGGAGACAGAGCAGAGGCAAGCAGACGATGTGGCGGGGGAGGGAGCCCAGTCTCTTCCTTAGGGAGACTGATGCTGTGTACACCCTCAAAGATAGGCTCTCCGACAGGGTTGAAAGACCAGGACTGTCAAGAACTGACATATGACATTAAAGAGACGAGGGATTCCTTCCTCTTGGGGAGCATCACCCACCCCCACCCTCACGTGTAGCCTGGAGGCATGTTTATAAAGCTGCTTCTATGAAGAGGCCTATAGGAGAGACCTCCCACCTCCCTCACTGAATCTTGGGCCAGCAAAATCATCACAAGTCGCTCTTGCAGAAACACAAACTGTGTTGGCTTCTTGAGGAGCAAGAAGACCAGGGTCCCCAGTTGGGCCTCACCCTTGCTTCTCATAACAAGTGTCTGCTGTTTGGAGCCCCTACTCCCAGGCCTCAGTCTATGTTTCTAGGGTTAAAAACCTCCAACCCAGAAGTACCCAGAATCCCTCACCAGCCAGAAACATTGACTATCTTGACTTAATGCTGAGACCCCAGGACCCTGACATCCCCAGAAATAAACCCCCGTGGCAGTGAAGGTTTGGAATGCTATACTGGGTTTGGGTCACATCAACCCCCAGTGCATAAAGACTTAAGTCTCGACATGTTCCTGCCCAGCTCCTGCCCTTGAACAGGTGCCGTCTGCTTGGGTGGCCAGTGAGGGACCGGCCCTAGGCCTGGGGAGGAGCCACTTCCGGCATCGATGCTGCCTCCAAACTAATGACCAGAGTCCAAAAGCCCTCGCAGGCTGTCCACAGAAAAGAGCTGTAGCCCACTAAAACCATACCTTCCCTCCTCTGTGAGCAGTGCAGTAGGACCTGGGGCTACGAAAGGCCTTAACGAGGTTCACAAGAGAGAAGCCGAGGAGGTGAAAGGTGGGTTGGGAGAGCTGGGAGAATGCAGGAAGAAGGAAGGGTAAGGTTGATGGGGGGAGGCAGTTCTGTGAATGAGGTTTATGGAATGTGTGGGAGACGAGCCAGTGCAGCAAGGGACCTGGGAAAGCACCAATGTTCCATAGCTGAGGATGAAAATGCCTTCTGAGGTCCATACCAGGACCCTGGTGCCCTTCAACCACCTGGACTCGGAGTGGACCCTATTGTCCTACAATTTTCTGTCATGACTATACCTCTGGTCCCAAGGAGTCTACAGCCCATCATCCCAGCAGAGACCTTCCCTCCTCAGTGTTTAGCATACACGCACACACAGAGAGTGTAGAAAATACATAACTTCCCATGTACCCAGGGCCAGTAGCAGAAGTGTCTCTAAGATGGGCAGATCAGACCTCACTTCACAGTCTGTTTCTAGTAGAGGGGTTAACTCGGTCCCTGCTTAAACAAAAAAGCAAACCCACACAGCTCCCATTTTCAGTAAAATTAAAGGACCCTCTATGCCTTCTTCAGACTGGGTTCTCAAAGCCAAACTCTACACCGCCGTCCATCAGACCTAGAAGAAGCGGGAAGGTCCAAAGGGGGCAGAGCAGAAGTTCTGCCACATTGCTGTTGAATTGTGACTTCCTTTGGGCTTCCAGAAAGCTGTGTATTTTCTGTGGTAAGAAAACAAGGGCCTAAGAGATTCAAGGAGAGAAGAGAAGCAAGACCAAGGGAAAGGGGTAGCCTCTGGCTACATGGGGCTTAACTCCTTTGCCCGGGCTGAAGGTTGGAAGGGTACTCAGTGCTAGCCTGACTAACATATATATGGCTTTTTATCAATACTGGGGACAAGCGGGGAACAGGGAAGGGGACACTGAACACAGGGGTAGAAACCTTCGCAGGTTTCCTCCAGCACTCGTTTGAAATGAACGCCCTGTTTCCTGGCATTTCCCTGCCTCTAGGGAATGGAAGGATAGGGCCTCTCCACAGCTCTGCCTGGGCCCCTCTGGCTACCATCACGGAGGCCTAAGGGCCCAGGGAGTCAGGAATCGGAGTTGTGAGCTCATCACTGTCCATCCATGCTCCCCCTTCTTGCCACCTCCTCCTTACCTGGACCTCAAGGGACCTAAACACTCAAGCCTTCCTCTCTCAGGTCTCTGGCTCTGTGCAGAGTGTTTGTCTTCAGACAGTATTTTTCCACTTACACAAAAAGGGAAACAGAAGCAAAAGCAAGGTGGTGCATGAATGCAAATGACCCTGGCACTGCTTTCGCGCTGCACTGCGGAGGGAGGAAGCTTGAACTTCCCACTTAGGAGGCAAACATCCAGGAGCTCAGCTTCAGGCTTTCTCAGTAGTGGGACTCCGCTTCATGGTTTGATGCTGTCGACAAGAATGCGATCCTGGGGCCAGCAATCTCTGGGAGAGTTCAGTCAATCCGGTGAGAGTTTGTTCCCATGAACGTCCCCGAAACCACACTCCTGGGGGAAGCCATGACTGACAAGAGGAAGTCTGTGACGTCAAGGGCTTTGGTCCTAGTTCTGAATACATCCAGTACCACACTGTGCTGCCTTCCAAATGGCCATTCCCAAGGACTCTGAGAGCTTCTGGCTTACACCAGGGCTTACACGCTGACAGGCCTCCCACTGAGGCAGCGGGTTTTCTTCATCCTGGAGTCCCTGAAGACTTCCTCCTTTCACACGGCTTCATTGTCCATGGCTCATTCCAGAAATGAAGAGAAAGACTCAAAGACAGGCAGGGATGGACACGCGTACACATACACACACACACACACACACACACACACACACACACACTCACACAAAACACGCTGGACATTGTGTTGCCTTGACAGTAGAGAAACAGAATGTGCTGCCATTTTGTTGGTCCAAAACACAGAAAGAGCAGGAACTGCTTCAACTTTCTGCCAGTCGAGGCCCCGCGTGGGGCGAGGCCTGTGTGAAGCTCTGAGAGTGAGGGAAACCGCGACAGGCATGCAACAAGGACAGCTCCTGGGGAACAGACAGAGCCGGGCTTCTCTTTCACCACTTAGGGGACTCCCTTCACGCAGCCACCGAAAGGAAGTTGGTCTTTAAAAAGAGTAAAAGGAAGGAAAAATACACCGCAAACAAATGGAGAAACCTCTAAGGTCGCATAACTGAGGTATTGATAGCTCTGGATCTTGTCAGTGCCCTCAGAGGCACGTGGCCCAGCGTCCGTGTCCTACTTGTTCTTGCCCAGAAGCGCATCCACTTCCTCCTCTGGCTTAAGAGAATGCCACTGGGCGATAGGCCTCCGAGGGTTGGCCAGCATGTCGGACCAGTGCCGCAGCTCCGTGCCTGTGGCGTTGCTGCCCACAAAGATCTTGCCGATGGCTTCGTTCTTGCCCAATTTGTCGTAGTCTAGCACAGTGACAACCACCTGGACTTTCTGCAAGGAAACGAAGGAAGGAAGGAATTCAGAGAAGTAGGAAGCCATGATATCCTGCATCTCTGTCTACACTGCGAATGATGCGGAAGGAAATGCCTCCAGGTTTCTGGCTTCCAGCTCCAGCTCCAGTTCAGTTTCAGGGGACATGGAGATGGAGGGCAAACCTTTTTCTCTTTTCTTTTTTAAGGCAACCTGTATTTCTACCAGCAGGTATACTTGAGTATACACAACGCTCTAAGAACTAGAGCTGTAAGACCTTATGGAACAGGCATGGCCTCTAATGAAGTCAGTGGACACATAATAAATAATAAATAAATAAAAGTTGCCAGGCGGTGGTGGTGCATGCCTCAACACTTGGGAGGCAGAAGCAGGAGGATCTCAGGGAGTTCGAGGCCAGCCTGGTCTACAGAGCGAGTTCCAGGATAGGCTCCAAAGCTACACAAAGAAACCCTGTCTTGAAAAACCAAGTACACACACACACACACACACACACACACACACACACACACACGTGTGTTCGTCAAATACATTAAGGAGTTATATGACTTTTAAAAGTTAGTTCATGTTCATCTCCTCAGATAATGGGGCTCTTTAGAAAAGTCCCCTCCGGGGTCCCGCCCCAGCATCACCTGCCCGTGGCTGCCCTCTATCTCCCCACGCTTGTCCAATGAGCTCAGAGCTCAGGGCCCTCGAGGCTTCAGCACCTGGATCTGCTCAAAGGGGATCTCGAAGCTGAAGGACTCGTTGAAGTAGGGGTTCAGGGTCTTTTTCTTCACGGTCGTCTTCTTCTTCTTGAGTCTCTTGCCATTCTGCATCAGGTGGATTTTCACGTAGGGGTCTGCAGAGACAGTCCCAACCCAAGAGACCCCTAAGCCCTGACCACCTTCTCAGTGTCCCCAGACCACTTCGGGATCGGACAGGCCTCCACCTTGCTGGCACCAGCCCCTTGAAAAGCCCAGAGAAGGGACAGGAAGTCCCAAAAGCAGAAAAGTCATCTCGTTCGAGGGTGGGGAAGGTGTTAAGGACCATCCCTGTTAATTCTTGTTAATTTATGGATTCCCAGTACATGAATTGGGGGAACTTCTGAGCTCAAGAAGCTTCAAGAGGAAGCATGGGGACCAAGCGGCCAGGTGCCTGGCTGGGCAGGAGACACGGAAGTGCTGCAGTCAAAGCAGACTTCTGCCAAGTCCCGGCCCTACCCCATCCAGTTGTCCTAATCTTTCCAATGGAAATCTGAGGACACAGAAGGGAAAGGACCAGCCCAAGGCCGCATCCTGGGTCAGTGATGGAGCTAAAGCCCAGCAACAGGGCTCATGGTCTGAGGGGGCTCTGTAGTGGCTTTGCCCATCTGCATCCTGTGGCACAGGCTAGCCCTCTTCACTGTCAGAGCATCCTCTTCCAGAACGAAGCTGGCAGAGCCTACAACCTCTCCTGGAAAAATATCCCCTGCTCTGGTGGTATGGCAAAAAGGCAAACTTTGGGCTAAGCCCTGCCATTTCTAACACTGCCTTCTAAAGTCCTGTGTCAAACAAAAATTCCTCTGTCTTCTCCATGGCCCACTGGGCGTAGCCAGAGGGCAACGGGAAGGGACTCATATGGACAGGCAGCCTGGAAGAATGCTAAGACTGGGAAGCTGTGCCCCACAACAAGCAAGCCGCTTCCTATTGTCAGCTCCAGGGACTTAGAGCAGTGACTGGCTCACTGGTGCCACCCACTGGCACCCAGGGGTTCTGCATTACCTGAAAGGCCCCCAACGTCCATCTTCTTGAGGTTCTTGGCCTCCAGGATACAGACTGTGAGTTTCCCGGCAGTGGGCACATAGCGCAAGGAGGTACAGATGTCACCCAACTTCTCCGGCTGCCCAAGGAAAGAAGCAGGTCTTAGGTCACTTCAGCTCCCCAGTGGTCTCTAGTGTGGCTGACCCCATCTTCCTAAGACTGGCAAAGCAGTGATTTCTGGCCACCTCCCTAAGTCATCAGCACCCACATCAGCCACGGTCTGAGGAAGCTGACGTCCAAGAAGGTAGAGGACAGGCTATAGAGGAGGGACCCGGCAGAGCTGGCAGATGTACGGTAGGCTCAGGTCCCCGCCAGGCTGGGCTGAGAAGGGCACCAGGAGCAGGTGCTGAGTGACCAAATAGTTTTGGGAGCTTCTTCCCTGGTGGCTTGTGTGCCTGCTGCCATCCTTTCCCATCAGCCACTGGGCTCGCAGAGTGATGTGTGGGTTTCAAAGTACTTCCCTTTCCTTTATTATTTACTATTGTGTGGACAAGGCAAGGACACTGTGTAACTCAGAAAGACAGCCGCGTAACACTGGGCAGAGAGGTCTGGACTCCTGACCTTTATAAAGCCTCCGCTAGCCCCAGTTTCTCAGGGGTGGGGCCACCAGGGTAAGGGTAAGACCAACCAATCACACATGTCTTCCTTCAGGTGCATAGGCCTTCAACTCTGGCAACAGGGGAGGCCCCAGCTATAGAAGAAGGCCTGGCGCCTTCATCCCTGCTCCTCCACTGAGCACCAGGCAGGCCACTTCAGGAGCCTGGCTGAAACATGCAACTGATGCTGGCGAAGCAGCTGGAGTGGGAATTCTGGGACCCAGTAAGTGAGGGTGGATGGCTGTAGCAGTTGCTGGGAAGACAAACCATACACTTGAGAATCCTATAGAATCAAGGCTGGCTTTCCTTGTGGGTAAACTGCGGCATAGAATCAGATTGACAGTGGGACCTTCAAAGGAACAATAATAATGGCATCCTTATCCCATAGACTGTTTGGCAGACACCAGGCATGTACAAGGCACTTGGCATGGGCAGTTAATTTCCAGCTGGAAGCCTCTAAACGGAGACAGCAAGGCCACAGTTTAAGAAGCTTCCCCTGGGATTGGTGGTGGTGGTGCACACCTTTAATTCCAGCATTTGGGAGGCAGAGGTAAGAGGATCTCTATGAGTTCAAGGTCAGCCTGATCTACAGAACAAGTTCTAGGATAGCCAAGGCTACTCAAGAACCCCCCCAAAAAAGGAAGAGGATAAGAAGAGGAGGAGAAGGAGGAGGGAGAGGAAGAGGAAGGAGGAGAAGGAAGAAGAGGAGGAGGAGGAGCAGGAGGAAGAAGAGGATGAGGAGGAAGAGGAGGGGGAGGAGCAAGAGAAGAAGAAGGAGGAGGAGGAGGAGGGCAGCAGCTTGCCCTGGGTCAACAGTCAGGCAGTGGGGAGCTGGACACTTTGATCAGCAGACCTAACTAAACCTCCTCTCTTCCTAATATACACGTGGAGGAACAAGCCTACAAGAGCACTGAGAGGCCAGGCCTTTCCACTCTTACCTCTTCCTTCTCCCCGCCTTGTAGGTCTCTCCACTCCTCAATGGGCTGGCCGAGGTCCACAGTGTTCATGGGCACCTTCACCTCTCCGATGATGTCATGTTTAGAGAAGCGGTCAAAGTCATAGATGGCCATCACCAGGGTTTTGCCTCCTAACTCCTGGTATGGCACCTGTCGGGCACAGATGGGGTCAGAAGGGGCCAAAGTGGCTTGAGCAGCTCCGGCGCCCCCCGCGGGCATGCCGTAGGAAGAGCCCGGGCTTGGACCTGTACTGCCACAGGCACCAGGCAGACTGTGGAAACGGGTGTGTGAGATGGGAGAGAGGCTACTGTGCCACTCTGAGCATGGCCCAATGCTCCAGCCATGGCTGTGGACCAGCGAAAGGTGTGCAGAACCCAGGGGCAGAGGGGGAGCCGGAGTCTTCACCTTGAAAGTGAAGGTCTCATTGAAGGCAGGGTTCAGTGTCTTCCGGTGCACCTTGGTCTCATATTTCTTCTTCTTGTCTGGGAGGAGGAAGACTTTGACATAGGGGTCTGAAGTGCCACCCATGTCCAGGGCAGGGAGTTCAGCCGCTTGCAGGACACCCACGGTGAGCTGTGGAGAAAGGATGTCTCAGTGTCTGGACTGCCCATCTAGCCCCAGACATCTAGCCCCAGACGGTCTCCTGCCGACCCCCCACCCCCACCCCAGCAGGAGTCTGGGAAGGGGACCAGGCCAAGCTCAGCAAGTAAATTAATAGCAGAGTTCACCTGAAACCTTCCCCAGAGGAAACTGACGTCAAAGCCAAAGGCTACGTATGCCCTGTAGCTTCCAACTGTCCCACTCTGCAGAAAGAGGCAAGGCCTACCTGTCTCTAGGGAGTCACTTCTGCCCATGCCCTGTCCCTGTTGCCCAGCCCCACATACCTGGTTAGCTTGGAAATCATAGTCCAGAGAAAACTGCAATTTGCCCAGGTTCTCTGGCTCCTTCTCCTCCTCGCCTTCACCTTCTCCTTCGGTCAGGCCCGTCTCTGCATCATCATCATCCTAGGAGAGCTGAGGGTGGGGAGAGAGGGGCTTAAAGGGGAAGGCAGCAGCCACCCTTCACAGAGACACGGAAGCCACCCAAACTCTGAATCAGAGCCCTTGTTGGGGGAATCGCGTTGTGGGGAGAGCCCCGGCTTTGGCCTGTATTGCCTGCAGGGTACAAGGCAGACCCTAGAAACCAGCATGAGATGGTAGAGCGGCTCATCGGGGACCCCCAGGCAGACACCCAGCCCCACACTTGGAAGACATGACATCTCTCCTCCCTGTGGGGTCAGGCACTGTGCCACAGGCCAGATAGCTTCTTGAAGCAGGGGAATCACTTTGCTTTAAACCCTATCAGTCTTTTGCTCAGATTTACCCAACCTGGGTGAGACATACCAGGATTGCAGTCCAGGCAGCCACGAGCAAGGCGAGTCCAGAGAAGCAGAAAGAGAAGGGAGCGATATAAGAGCAAATCCTTCAGCTGAAGCCAGCCTGGAGTCATGGCTGCTTGTTGAGATCAGCCTGGGTTACGGGCACACATGTTGCACACATATACACACATGCACATACAAGGACCATACATGCATGCACATACACACGCATGCATGCATACACACACTAACACAAAGATGTGCATATATATACACCATTCATGTGCACGCAGACACACACACACACTGTAGACTCCTTTGAGGCCCACCTAGGCACACAGACACATAAGCACTCAAAGGCCATCATGACCCTTGGCTGCCCTTTGAGGTCAGTCCCTTCTTCCAGCCTTCATTATGATGCCTTGAGGAAGACTCTCCCAGTCATTCCCCAAACGAACCACAGAGGACTGGGAAGCACCCGGCTCTAAACTTAGAGGAGAAACTAATATGCCAAGGGACCTATTGAAGCCAACACCAACAGGCTGGGGACAGTGCCTCCTTATCTGAGAGTGATGGATTCCATGTGGTTCTGTCTTGGTGGCTTCAAACTCCACCTCCCCACTCCGAGCCCCACCCCCACCCTATCAGATGTATCTGTCCTTCAGTCTTTCCTGGACAGAAACTTTGATGTAACCTAATGGCATCTTCCTGGTGGTCACCATGGATGTCTAGCACTTTGCTCCAGTGGCCTCCTTGGGAGTCCATACCTTGTTCCCCTTCTTCTGCTTTTTCGAGGGTGAGCTAGCTCATGCTGACTCGGACTTAAGTCCCTGCCCTCTAGCTTGAGGTGGCTGACCTGATACTCTAGGTGTGACCGTCGCCATTGTGACCTGTGTGGAGGGTCTGCGCATGTGTGGAGAGTGCAGAAAGAACAGTTCATACAGAAGAGGAGGGTTTGGCTGTGGAAGCCATATCTCACCTTTCAGGACCGGGAAAGCCGGGCAGGGCCCCTCCCAGCTCCTCCCCAGCACCCTACCTGGCCCCCTTTCATGTCCTTCATGTTCATGGCGTTCTTCATGCCCTTGCCCTTCTCCTTCTTGTTCTTCTTCTTCTTGCAGCAGCATTTCTTGCAGATGCAGAAGCAGCAGGTGAGCAGCAGGAGACCAGCAACCACAGCCATGGCAATCAGAGCCCAGGGTGGCACTGCCCACACAGAAAGCCCCAGCATCAACACACTGCGCCTCACAAGCGCCCACATCCCAAGCAGTGGGTTGGGACTGTGACTCCCCCATTCTACAGCCCCACATTTTTTAATTGATCTTTATTGAGCTTTACATTTTTCTCTGTTCTCCTCCTTGCCTCTTCCCTCTCCCAGGGTCCCCATGCTCCCAATTTACTCAGGAGATCTTGTCTTTTCTACTTCCCATGTAGATTATATCTATGTAAGTCTCTCTTAGGGTCCTCATTGTTGTCTAAGTTCTCTGGGATTGTGGTTTGTAGGCTGGCTTTCTTTGCTTTATGTTTTAAAACCACCTATGAGTGAGTACATGTGATAATTGTCTTTCTGGGTCTGGGTTACCTCACTCAAAATGATGTTTTCTAGCTCCATCCATTTGCCTGCAAAATTCAAGATGTCATTATTTTTTCTGCTGTGTAGTACTCCATTGTGTAAATATACCACATTTTCCTTATTCATTCTTCGGTCGAAGGGCATTTAGAATGTTTCCAGGATCTGGCTATGACAAGCAACGCTGCTTTGAACATAGTTGAACACATGTCCTTGTGGCACGATTGAGCATCCTTGGGATATATACCCAAAAGTGGTATTACTGGGTCTTGAGGAAAGCTGTTTCCTAATTTTCTGAGAAATCATCACACTGACATCCAAAAGGATTGTACCATTTTGCACTCCCACCAGCAGTGGAGGAGTGTTCCCTTTTCCCCACAACCTCTCCAGCATAAGTTGTCATCACTGTTTTTGATCTTGGCCATTCTTACAGGTGTGAGAAGGAATCTCAGAGTTGTTTTGATTTGCATTTCTCTGATAACTAAGAATGTTGAACATTTCCTTAAGTGTCTTTCAGCCATTTTAGATTCCTCTGTTGAGAGTTCTCTGTTTAGGTCTGTGCTACATCCACGGCTGTCACACCAGTGTAGCAGAAATGCTGACTGGACAGACTGTTGCCGGAGGATTGGGATCTGTGCTTCACGGAGCTGTGTTCCAGGTGGTCCCTTGGCAATCAGTTGTGGTGTAATGCCACCTGAGTCACCATTTGTACTGACTCGACTTCGCTGTACTTGGCGCCATATGTTTGTCTTTTCCTTGTCTTTGTGTTCTTTGTGATCTTTGCATATTGCTAACAGATCAGACTATTCCAGGCAGTTGTGGATACAAACAAGACTGCTGAGGACATTTTGAGCTCTGCCCCACCATTCATTAAAGCCTTAAAAGAAGTAGCCAGGGCACTGCTGAGGAGCTCTTCCCAGAGAGATCCTTCATCTGGCAATAGATAGAGATAGAGACGGGGACCCACGTTGGAACATTGGACTTAACTCCCTAGGTCCAACCGAGAAGCAGAAGGAAGAAGAACGTGAGCAGGGAGGGCAAGATCAGAGGGAACCTTCATCCGGCAATGGGTGGCGATGCAGACGGAGACCCACATTGGAGCACCGGACTGAGCCCCCCAAGGTCCAAAGGAGGAGCAGAAGGAGGAAGAACATGAAAAAGGAAATCAGAACCGCAAGGGGAGCGATCACCCACTGATACAAGGGGACTGATCTAATGAGAGTTCACCAAGGCCAATTGACTGGGACTGAAGGAGCGCTTGATCCAACCAGATTCTCTGGAGGAGGCTGGATTCTCTGAATGTGGCTGGCCCGAAGTCTTTCTAAAAAGCCATTGACAATGACTCTGGTACTTGTTTCCTCTGCATATTCTGGATTTTTGGGGATCCAGTCGGATTGGATACTCACCTTCCTGGTCCTGGAGGGAGCGGGGAGGAACTTGAACTACCCACAGGGCAGGAAACCCTGACTGCTCTTAGGGATGGAGAGGGAAGAGGAGAGGGAGTGGGGGGAGTGGGAGGGTGTTGGGAGGAGGGGCGAAAATGGAAACTTTTATATTTTAATAAACTTAAAAAAAAAAAGAAGTAGCCAGTTCTGGGAATTGGCAGGGTCATCATTAGGATAATTCCTTGATGATGTGGAACAAAAGGAGTTAATTTTACTAGGAAAAACCTTAGAAGCCTTCTACAGGAAAACAGTATTAGGCATTTGCCTGGGAAATACGTGCAGGAGGCCTATGCAGCCTTCCTTATGGCCAGAATAAACCTAAGCTAATTACATCTGACCCTGAGAGTCGGGGAGGGAAGAGAGTTGAGATTTATGGTATGAGATGAGTTTCAGACAAGTTTGAGATCATGTCTTTGAAATTTCCTAGCAGAAAGCTTTCCCAGGAAGATAGTAGCCTTCTTCTTTCCCACCCAGGATAGTCTGAGCACAAGGTCACTTAGCTCAAACCAGCCAGCCACCTGGTGCAAGCTGATAAAGATAGCCTAGCTCAAGGGCAATAGCCTCTCTAAAGGCAAGAAAAAGAGTCAAAATATGAGAGAGCAAAAGTCCTTGTACCCAAGTCAAGGCATCTTCAAAGATTCTTTTTGTAAACTGTTTTATGCTGTTCTTTTCTGTTTTATGATTTGATGATGTATGCCTTTGCCAAGTTCTTTGATTGTAAAAAATATATAATCCTGCACTGAAAAAAGTAAAATTGCAGCAGCATTTTTCAATCACATTGAGGGTGTCTGTCTGTCATTCATCGCCGTTTTCTGAATTCTCCTGAGCCTTCGCCCTGTTCTCCCACGGTCTGGTGGCTCACCTGAGCTGGTCCGTGGCAGGTCTGTACTCCATTTGGGGGGGGAGCAGTTATTTGTTCTTTTGATGATTGATTTCTTGAGTTTTTTGTATATTTTGGAGATCAGACCTCTGTCTGATGTGGGGTTAGTGAAGATCTTTTCCCATTCTGTAGGCTGTCATTTTGTCTTGCTGACTGTATCCTTTGCTTTACAGAAGCTTCTCAGTTTCAGGAGGTCCCATTTATTCATTGTTTCTCTCAGTGTTTATGCTACTGGGGTTATATTTAGGAAGTGGTCTCCTGTGCCAATGCATTCAAGTGTACTTCCCACTTTCTCTTCTGTAAGGTTCAGTGTGGCTGGCTTTATGTTGAAGTCTTTGATCCATTTGGACTTGAGTTTTATGCATGGTGATAGATATGGGTCTATTTCATTCTTTTATATGTTGATATCCAGTTATGCCAGCACCACTTGTTAAATATGCTTTCTTTTTTCCATTTGATATTTTTTGCTTCTTTGTCAAAAATCAAATGTTCAAAGGTGTGTGAATTAATATCCGGGTCTTCTAGTCAGTTCCATTGGTCCTCCTATATGTTTTTATGCCAGTACCAGGCTGTTTTCAGTACTGTAGCTCTGTAGTAGAGTTTGAAGTCAGGGATTGTGATGCCTCTAGAAGTTCTTTTATTGTACTGGATTGTTTTGGCTATCCTGGGTTTTTTGCTTTTCCATATGAAGCTGAGTACCGTTCTTTCAAGGCCTGTGAAGAATTTTGCTGGGATTTTGATGGGCATTGCATTGAATCTGTAGATTGCTTTTTGTAAGATAACCATTTTTACTATGTTAATTTTACCTACCCAAGAGCATGGGAGATCTTTCCACTTTCTGGTGTCTTCTTCAATTTCTTTCTTCAAAGATTTAAAGTTCTTGCCATACAAGTCTTCCATTTGTTTGGTTAGAGTTACTCTGAGGTATTTTATGCTATTTGTGACTATTGTGAAGGGTGTTGTACAACTGGTTAACCTCATCACAGCCAAGGGAAGGAAGAGACTTGTGGAGCCTGGCCCTGGGACAGTCCTTGGAGGTTTGACCCAGAGGCATCAAAGTTTCCTGAGCTCTAGTTCCCCGAGAAGACTGACCTTGCTTAGCCAGAAGGGCTGGAGAACCCTTACCACCACCCCCACCATGATGCTCTCCACTGCCCTGAAGTCCTGGCTCCCACCACTGTGGCTGATCCTGCCAAGGGGACCCTGGTTCCACACAGAGAGCCTTTGTCAGGAGTTTGGTAAGCCTTGTTTTCTGCACTCCAAAATAAAGCAGTTACTAAATCTGCTGAAAACCTGAATAATGATTCCTAGCTCATATTTTTTCACCTTTTATTTTCATTCTTTGGTGAAATTTTAAAGTGGTACTTGGAGTTGAACCCC